ATAGGTAGGTAGTGACAAGTAGCTCGCAGCTGATGCACATCTAAATCAGCAGTGTTGTTAGCTGGTTACAGCAGTGACCTAAAAGTGAAATTTTGAGATAATCTTTTAAATTCTTTTCAGTCTGCCTTGGGCTTGCCTCACCGTTGTGTGAACCAGTTCAGGCCACTGAACTGTCAGGAAACTAACCCTGAAAAAATGAGTGGACTTAAAGGGCACATAGTGCTGAACACGGGGTCTCATGAATGCAGCACTAACGCAGAGGTTTGGTGGGGGAAAGAGACAAGYGTACAAGGCCAACAGTGGGTGAAGAGCAGAACCGCTCGTCCTGGTGGCAGAAAGTCATCACATCACCTCACCCCTCTTGTGAAACTTCCCCCTGAAGAGTTTATTTCCCTCCGTGGAAGAAATCCAGTTGCTTTGCGACATGCTAAATAGTTTATTTATAATGTGGAACAGTATTGTCTAGTCTAAAGTGCTTAGAATTGTGAGATTTTAAAATACGGTATCTTAAAAAAAACCCTTTTCAATTAACTTCTATTTATTTTTAAGCTCTTTTGCTGGATTCTGAATTTGTGTTTTGTGGAAAACTGCATCTTTTCCAGAAGATGCAGCCAAGAATGGGACTGTGTTGTGCTGAGAAATGTGTAAACACGTAAGACAGTTCGTTCCTCARAGAGCTTGCAGCCTAGTGCCAAGTGGAGTGGTGAGTTTGATGTGGGGGCTGGAATGTCGATGYGTGAAACTCAAAAAGGCCACAAAATACCCATTTGATGGAAACAGTTTTCAAGCCCCGCTGAGCCTGGGATGGATTCAATCTGGAGTTCAAGCAAAAGATTCTGATATTCATTAGCCTGAGATAGCCATACTTCTGTAAGCATTAAAATTACACCTTCAAGAATAAGGCATGTGGTTGAAATAAACTAACTAAATCAATTTTTTTTGCAGTAAGGAACTTATATTTCGATCAATCTCAGGTAACTGAAATTTGCGTATAGCTGGATCAAAAGTTACTTGTGCCATGTCTTTAGACACAAGGCTGACAAAATTATCTGCTGAGTCATAGCGCAGCCTCAGATTGTCTTTGGAAATAGTTCTTGTGTTTTCCCATGCAGAGCCAGAGCTTATATGAATTATGCCAGATTCAAACTGGATGCATGAAAAGGCAGGAGAAGTCCTGCGCCTGAAAAAATAAATGCCTGCGAGTAGAGCAAAGACGGCTTGAGTTTGCTGACCAGGAGTAACAACGGCCCCAGATTATTTCCATTAAATAACCATTGCGGGTGATGGAAAGTGACCTGTCTTACTACTCCACCATGCTGATTTTAGGTGTTTTAAGTTCGTGATTCAGGTTGTTTATAGCACAGATGAGATTGAAGTTAAAAGTAATTTGCACATTTGCAGCTGTATTTTGCAAGCTAAAGTCTCAATTGTATATATACAGAGTTCATAAAGTGTGGACATAGCATTTAATTCCTGTAATGTTAGGCCCATGAAGCAGTCCGCTGAGGTGGAAAAGAAGTATCTTTTCCTAGTGGGCTCTTCAAGTAGAGCTGTTGGGCTACCTTTAGAGACTTTTGTGTAGCATCGGGTGGGTTTTCTAGTTTTCAGGAGCCTTTTTCGTGTTTACGAGCCCCTTATTTATGCATTTCACTTTTATTTAAAATGCTTTACTTTGGGCTGGGAGTTACTCTACAGACTGTAGAGATGACCTGACAGCTGGTGAATATGGTGTTTTCCATGTATTTGAACTCTAGATTTGTGAAAAGTAAAGACAACTGTTCTGGAATAAATTAGATACTATAAACCTAAAATAAGTTGGCTTCAAAACTAGCCTGCTTATGATCGTGATTTAAGCTCCCTGGCTTGATTTTTCACCTCTACTCCCACGTATCTTTTAGCAGTGAGGATTTTCTTAGGCCCAGAAACCCAGGTTCATCTCATAGTTCCTGAAACCGAAGGAAGATATTAGTCTCCACATTTTCATATCAGTATTAGGAAAATACTCTGTGACTCTAAAATGCTGATCGGAGACATCTAGTAACCATTGAAATACCAGGTTCCTAACTTGCGTTCAGAGTTTTAAGGAGACTGGCTGAGTCAAAAATCRCATCTGCCAAAGAAATGGTAAATCATAATCAGAAGGTGGACGTAGGCATTAAAGTGTAGATTCTTTACTTTTGTGCCTTCTAGGAAGACAGCTTCAGAGCACTAGATGTGTCTTGTTTTCAATACATTCACCACTTTTTTTTTTTCTTTTCCCTTGGTCCTAGTTCCAGTCAAACTGAGTCCACACRCCTTGTTCTGATGTTGATTGGCTGCACTGGTTGTAGTATTCTCTTCTCATGGCTTTCAGAGTGGAAGTCTTTCTTCCTTGTCTCTCAGTTTCCCAAAGAGAAATTAAATTATTTTCAAGATTTCAGAAAATTCTCTCTTGAAAGCAGTTCTTCAGCTTATCAAGTGTTGAGTATCTTAGTGTCTAACTTACTGATACTGGAAAGGCTTCTTCAAACAAATTTAAAATACCCATCGTGGGCAGATCAGAATACAAGACTGTTCTTGACTGCTTTCCTCTTCATGATAAGTGTGTGTTTTTTTTCTTTAGATAAAATGCCTATTTGTTTAGGGATCAGAGATAACTACCTGTCAAGTCCTGTCTTCTCGAGAACTTGAGAACAACAAGGAACAACTTGGTTTTACTGATGTTGTTATGTTGAGTTTCTTACAGTCTCGAGAATTGGTTTTGGTTTTTTTTGTTGTTGTTTGTATTTGCTTTCCTTTTTGCTAAGAGTTTCTTTTTCAAATTTTCATCCTTTTTTAGGAGGAGTGTCTATTGGCCTGTTGTGGACTTGCATACTGATACGTATAATGTCTAAAAAGAACATGATCTTAATAAGTGTTTTATTTGCTTGAACTTGGACTTTTCAGTTTTCTCTCCAAACTCCTCATCCATAAGTGATGCTTTGGAATTACAACTTGTGTTTATTTGGTAATTTCTTTCATACAGAAAATTTGTATTTTTCTAGTCATTTCTAGTATGTGCCATTCTCTACAGAAAAATTAGATTCCACATGGTCATTCAATTCGTGTCCTTCCATTCTTCTCACTTTTCCTTAACAGTCCTGTGATACATATTAAAAAGAATCCTAACCACTAAACATTTTCAGAAAAACATTTAGAAAAAAACATTCTGGAAACATTTTGTGCACAAATGTGTACAACTTACCCAGAGACCAATCTAACATGTTGTCAGGGGAGAGTTGCCYTGCTTGGATTTTAGGTTAGAGCTCATCTCCTTGACATACAATTAATCTTTGTAATCATACACATATGTGTAGGTTATGTATCAAATTACACCAAATATACCAAGAATTTAACCACGTTCATCACGGTCTGTCTATGTTGCAGAGGTTCTGAAAAGCACTTCTGAAACTTGTCTTTTCACGTTAGTCACACTTGCTTCAACTCTGTAATTCTGTGGTTGCCTGATGTCGCATATTTGTCATATTCCATAAATATCGCTGTATTTGCGAAACCTTCCTGCGACTGCCTCTTGTTCTGCAGTCAGGCTTGCCTGCAAGCCAGGGTAAATTAACTGTATCTCAGAGTATTCCTGCTTTGTAGCTCTAGAACAGCAGGGGTTTAAGAAGAGACAAAAGCTGGAAATCAGCTTTCAGCCAGGTTCAGGGGCAACAGAATTTTACTATGATAAATGAGCCCGTCTGCAGAGCAGTGTAAGCTGAGGCCTGGCTAGATAAGGGACCAAAATAGGTTATCGCCTCAATTCACAGTGAGATGTGCTCCTGTGCAGGCAGGAGTGTAAAGCTTCTGGCTCTTACTCTGCACTACTTTGTGTAGGCCAGAGAACGGGTATCTCYTCAAAAGCAGAGGAGGAGATAAAGAATTTGTTTGGCTTCCTTTTACATGTACATTATAGTTTAATTCATTTTTTTGGAAGATAAAGGAATATAAACTAAATAATGAAATAAAGATGAGGGGTCTGATTTTTCTTCCTGTTGGTTTCCTGTTTTCAGACAATGCAAAGTACTGTTCCTGGCCTCACGCTTTGAGAGCTGTAAGAGACAAAAACATACTTTTATTTAGGGGACTGGTTAGAGTATATTACATACAACAGGCAGTGACCTCATGATCAGCCTACACCATTAATCAATATTTTAGATTCAGTGTTACAACAGCTATGGTTGCTGTGGATCACTAGAGTGCAGTGAACAGTTGGACCTAGTCCAAAACATTTCTTTTTCTCTCCATCAGGTCTGTTGTAGGCCACTAATGGCTCATCTGGGGACACTGCTGTGTACAGTTCACAGTCCAAGCATAAGCATCTTGCATAAAGGCAAACTGTAATTCGCCTCACTGCGCATTTTTTATTAAAAAAAGAGGCTAGAGGCTGATCATATTAGATCGTTTCAGCAACTGGCTTTTCACAGAGCAAAATGACTTTTTTCTTTTATGCAGTTTATTGCATTTGGACCTTCCGTAATTAGCTATAAATCCCTTGATATAATCGATCCGGTCTCTAGTACCAGGAAGCTCTAGCCCACGTTCAACCATGTGCAGAGTTTCAGCTGGGAAAAAGCAGAGTGCTCCTGACTTGGGCCATGCTTTGCCTGAGTGGTAGCAATTGTATTTAAAGCCTTTGATCGTTCCCTTATTTTATAAGATGTGTATATTAAGYAGAATTTAATAAATCATAATGCAAACTGAACGTTGCAGTGACGTTATGTATTCTGGGTGAAGAGAACAAAATGCACTGGTGTGTTCTTTGATATGTAGCAGGAGCTGCAGTATGAGCTAGTACAAAACCGAATAACTGGGGCTTTTTTCAATTTTCAATGCCTGGATTAAATGTGCAGCTCATGTTTTAATACATGCCTACTTGTGACGATCGATGGGTGGCCTTTAAGACACTGTTGAAGTGCTATTGCTGATACTACAAAGCAGCTAACTCGGTGGTGTTTTTCTTCCTATGCAGAAGCTTCACTATGAGGCGGGGTGGATGGAGGAAACGGGCAGGCGATGGCGATGGCTGGGGAATATTGGTATGTGCAAAACAAGTGGCTTTTTTGAAAGAGRTACATGGCAATGTGGGTTGAAAAGGAGTTGCAAAACCAAGGACAAACATAGGTCTGTTAAAAAATAATTTTTATAATTAACAAGTTTTGAAGGGTTGGTTCACAGCCATCCACTAATTTGCAGTATTAATATGTGCAGTCCCCTAAATAGCTTTAAACAACTGCTTAAAAATGAAATTAAATAACCTTGAAACTATTTGTAGCTGTCTCAAGAAATTTTTATGTAGTTAGACAAAAAAAACACCCAAGGAACCAAATTTACATACATATTTCTGATAYTGCTGTGTCACATCTATGTATAAGATCGGAAGAAACCTGGAGCTTGATGAATGTTCTTTGCRTTGTTTTGGGCCCAGTGAAACACTTGATTTATGATCTAAATTTACATCTGTGTTCATTTTGTTAGTGACTTATATAGTAAGAAAAAAGAAAAACAAATCCTAGTAACGGGATGAAAAAAAATTGGCAGCAAGACACAACTGTAGGTAAGCTTTTAGGGCAGCAGGTCTCCTGTTGTGCCTTTGGAAAAATAGGATTTGTCTTTTGCATGTCAACCAAAATTGATGAGAAGGAATGCTGCCTCATGTTCCAGGCTTCTCGCTTCTCATCAGTTTCAGCGTATGTACATGGGAAAATAAGACGGGAGTCATGTTTCCTTTTTTTGTTTGTATTTTAACTTAAAAAACAGGGAGGGTACATGTCTGCGAAAGTTAAGAAACTGGATGATCAATTCCGGGCAGATTCCATTGTTCAGCACCAGAGGGATGGAAATTCATCAAGTATCTTTAGTGGAGTTGCCATCTACGTCAACGGCTTTACAGGTGACACTTTTGTTTTTAAGCAATTTGTTCTTTCTTGTTATAGTATCTGTTATTACCATATATGTTAAATTGTATATGTTTTCACAAATTTCTTTTTTTTTCRATATAAAATCAGATTGAGGTTTAGTATTAAATCTTGCTTTACTGTATTTATTTAAAGGAAATATCATTGGTAGAAATAGTAATTTTTTTCATCTTTCCCTGATCATATTTGAAATGAAACCTAAGAGTTTGGGATGGGGAGACAGGGGACAGTGCAGTAAGAGAAATGTTTTTGCTTCTTTTTGACTTTCCCCATATGCCTGCAAATATTTTCTGATAATAAATGTTTTCTATTCTTGAAGTTTTTTAAAAATTTCTATTTTGATTTTCAAAGCTTTTGATGTTTGCATTGGACTTGCAGTGTTTACCTTAAATTCATGTTTGGGTAGATGTGTTGGGATTTTTGCTCACAATAAATGCTCACAATAAATGCTCACAATAAATGAATGGTAGAGATAGTAACACTTTAGGAGGAGGAGGAGGARGAGGCAAGACATGGATATGCATTGCCTGTGATAGACTGACAGTACGTTTTATGAGGAGTCAGTTGTTTTAATCCGCCACATTCGTTTTCAAATTTCTGCTAAGTTCCTTAAAATAGCTTAGTCTTCCTGAAACATCCCAGAAGTTTTTTCAGGAGCCTGTGCCAGGAATGTTGCGATATTAGATATCTGATGTGTACAGCTGCCATGGCATCCTGAAGCAGTACTTGAGCACTGGGCAAAGCTGCCATATGTAAAAATGAGCAAGGTTAAGCTAGGAACATTAAGCGCTCAGTACAGGCAGATCAGTTATTTAATATAGATGGTTTCTGTGGTAGAAGTTTCATTATTTTCATATTCTGCAGGGCAGTGGGTTTTATATTGTGCTCCATAGGATGGTTGTCCACATGGCTGRAGTAGAAAAATGATCATACTTAGGAGAAAATGTACTATTTTCCATTAAAAGGTAAATGTAAAATCAAGTGTTAGAACAATTTTACGGTTGACAAAGGAATTCCACTGAAAGGAATTCTAACTGCATTCTCAAGAAAAATGGCTTTTCCTTCCCATTTTCAGTATCTTGTGGAGAATTTCCTGTTAAAGCCATTGCACTTGCCCTGTGTTCTAACCTAACTCTTTYGGTGCAATGTGGCACTCCTGTCAAAGGTTTTCCAAAAACTTGGATTTTTTTTTCTCTTTTTTTACTATTTGCAAGATACTCTGCTTTTTTTCACATCATTGAAAAAAAGATATAGTAAATAAGTTCTGGGGTCATTGGTGGGGGGCTAAGAAGAGGCCTTAGTTTTAAGGTACTTCTATTCCTTCTAAAATTTAGAAATAGCTGAATGAGGAAGGAGTTGCCTATGCCGGAAATCCTGGTGTAGGAGTTCTATGTTTTCCCTAAGCCGTATTCAAACTAATACATTTTTTGTTGCTTTTGGGTGTCAGCTGCTCTCCCGCAGTATAATCAGAAGTGATTTAATCCAGTACTTGTTTTTGTGTTAAGTTTTGGCAATTTTTTTTTAAGTAGTTTACCACAAAATCCACTGAGGTTTTTGTTTGKTTGGTTTTTCCTTCCCTCCATACGTGTTTCAGGAAGATCCTCTATAGCTGATAAAATGCTTACATTTAGCGTGAGTCTTCCTGGAAACGCTGTTTTCTACAGTTCTGCAGAAATGCMTATCTGGTTTGGTCTTTGAATAACTTGGGAGGAGAAAAACAATACTTTGTGCTCTTTCAGATTGTAGCATCCAGTTTCTCAACTGTAATTGTTTTTCTTAGTGTATTCGATGATACAGAGCAGGAATATTTCTGTTCTTAATTTTATAGATCCCTCAGCTGATGAATTAAGGAGACTAATGATGTTGCATGGAGGCCAATACCATGTGTATTATTCCAGATCCAAAACAACGCACATCATTGCCACAAATCTTCCAAATGCCAAAATAAAAGAACTGAAAGGAGAGAAAGTAGTTCGACCAGAATGGATCATGGAAAGGTAAGTTAGAAAAATCTGGAAAAGCTGCTTTGTAAAACATTGTACTTTAAGTTTTTGATTTGGTTTAAAATAAATTTATCCTGCATCAGCAGAATAAAACAACACTGTCAGGCAGAATAATTTTTTTTTTAATGTTCCTTAAAGAACTTCACATCATACTGAAAGTCTCAGTCCTCATGGGTAGGGTGAACACTGGCCTGCTGATTGCCCCATTAATATCCAATCAGTGGACCAGCCTTTATCTCAGTATGTTTTGTTAACTACCAGATAATTGTTTTTTAATTAACCTCTTGCCTTTTGCTTTGTGTAAGTTCATCTCATGTAAATAAAAGAAGGTCAGTTGAAAAGCATTTTCATAAAACTGAAATTAATATGTCTAAAGTATATCATATTTTGACTTCTAATAAAACAAATGAACCAAGGAACAGAAACCTGTGAGCAGGAGAGCTAACAGATTTATTTCCAAAGAATTTATGCCTGATGGTACCTTTGCACATTAAAATATATAGGTTCAACTGAAATTGTCYTCAGGTCCTTGGAAAAGATGATAGTCAGGCTCAGAATAACAAATCTGGTTTGCAGCTATATTCCTGCATCTTGGGGGAAATAGGACAGCCTGGAACACGTTTGATGAATAACTTTCAGTGGTGTGTAGTTCCTATTCAGTCTTTTCCTAGAGGACCACCAGGAATGGGCAAGGAMCTGTTCTGCATACATACTGTATGCACAGCATGCATATAACAGCATACACGCAACAACCGTTTTCAGTTGCATCCAACTTTACTGAATTAGAGTCTTTAAGACTCAAATGTTTCATATCATGCATCTTCCTTAAGGTTACTTTTTGAATTTTAGCCAGAAAKGATGGATTCTTCCATTTGTGGGGGAGGACATTTCTTTTCTCCTTAATTTTAGAGCCTCACCTTGTGTATTTAAGTACTTAGAAAAAGGGCAGTAGATATGATTTTGTTTCACAGATATAGTTATCTTAACTGGTGTAAAGCTATATATAATTTAAACTAAGCTGGAAAAATCAGTTTGTATACATTCAGTAAAGACTTGCTAGAACTTAATATATGGAATATTCTAAAATATACCTCACTATCTCTTGAGTGCAACTGTTGTATCTCCTTGTTCTAGACAATGTTACTGTAGAGTAACTCGGGAGAACTGAGCGCAATTTATGTCAGAACGTGAATAAAGGTTAAAAAAMATATTTCTCCTTTGCTCTACACTACTGTAGAACACTTACTGCTTAAATATTCCATCACTGTGCAGTACCTGTGCATGTAGAATACCAAACAATGTTATCCTTAGCAGGTAAGTTAGTGAAAATTTGTTGAGTAGTCACGTGTCCATCRTGTTGATGCACTCTAATGGATTTTTTTTTTCTATTTTGTTAAAATTTAGCCTTAAAATGTTACTATTACAAACTGTCGAGTATGTAATGTTAGATCTTTCAGTCCTGTCATCCAAGGCTACGAAATAAAAAAAAAATTAAGCTTACCTGTGCAACTGTAATGCTTTCTGTGCACACATTTTGATCCAGTCCTTTAGTTACATGATCACATGCCATTTTGTATCACTGTCACCTCTGCATAGAGAAGGTTTGGTTCAGGTTGCAAATTGTTAACTCGGCGTCCTATACTCTTATTTACTCTGCAGCTCTCTGTGTTATTTACTGTCTGCAACTCAAATTCTTCCCTGAAGACAGAATGAATATTTTTTATTAGAAAGCTTGTTGTATTGGCACCTATCACTGTAGCATCTGACTGATTCCCTAAGATTAATGAATTTATCATAATACTTATCACAATAATAGCTTTTGTTTTAATTTATTTATTGGGAACCATCAAAGACATATTAGGGTAAAACAGTAATTTCAGTAGCTTGGAGAATGCCAAATGAAATGCTTGAAGGGAAAAAAAAATACTTTATTCCTGTCGGCATTAGACATAGCAGGATGGCAAGTCATGCATTGAAAGATTTTTTTGAAATTTTTACATGTTCTAAAATACAGACATTCTGGTATAAACCACATAGCCTGTCGTTAAGTGCAAAAAGCTCTAAAATTTTGTTGAACTAGCACCACACAGGCACGGTCCTGTAGTGATAGTAATGTCCAAATCCAATATGGCAGAGAGAGTAATGTGTGATTAGTTTAATTAAGAAACTGTTTTTCTGAATTCCTCTTTCATGTTTTGTGAGACTGAAGCAGGGATGCAAACAGCCCTCCTTGCTGTACTTTTCTTGCTTTTATATTCAGCACAAGTGTTGTTTGAAAAATGTAATGCACAATTATATAGTTGAGAAAGGATTCAAGACATTATGGTTACTCTAAGTGGTCTGAATTCTGACAAAAGCTGCTTTGAAGCTTCACTTCCAAATTTGAATGCTCTTCTCTAAGAAGTATTATTTAACATTTATAAATGTAAACTGCACTTTCAACATTTTCACAACTTTCAACTTTCATTGCACTTTCAAAGACCAAGGCTAATTAACTCCTAAATGAGCTACCTTTGGAAGATGTGGATTATTTATTTTGATTTTTAGATGAAGTGAAAGTTCTTCTTGAAGATAGTCATTACTCCAACATAAATATGAAAATATTTTTAAATAATTTGCCAAGAAAACGCCAATAATCAATTTGGTGAGTTGCACTTCATTTGCTGCTTCTGATGTGAATTCTGAGTGCAAAACATTTATAAACATTTGAATAAATAAAAACTGCCCATCTGAAATCAGTACAGCTTTTGGAACAGTTGTTATGTTACTCTAACATTAATTAATTTGGAAAAATAATGTAGACTTCAAGAAAATCGCTGTAGTTGTGTTTTGATTGGCCCCTGATGGGTGAACACTGAAGAGAATTTCTGAAGAGTAAGGRAATAATCCAGCAAGAATTTATATATATATAATATATATAAATAGTTTTTCTAGAAGTATATTTTTTGTATTAATGAGTTACCAACTAAAAGTCAGCTTTTTAGCATGTTTCTCTTCCAGTTAATTAAAAACTTGGTGTTTTTTTATTCCTGGTGCATCATCTGTCCCAGTGGAATAGCTAGGAAACTAACAACTCCTCCTCTCCACAAACAATCCTCCCTCATACCTGAATGCACTGGTACTTTGGTCGTGACAAACATCTAATTTTAGCTGGTAACTCATTAATACAACAAAAAAGTACTTCTAGAGAAACTACTTATATATGTATATTAAATCTTGCTGAATTATTTCCTAACTCTGCAGAAATTCTCTTCTGTGTTCACTCAGTTTTCAAACACTCAAGTTTGAAATTTTAGTTGATTGGATTAGTAAAATATTCCGAGTTTTGCCGCATTCCAAATAGAGGAATTAGAATTGAGTTCCATTGTCACAGAATAAATGTAGCTTGGTAAAAGTTGCACAACAGTGCACATGAGCCAGAGTGATGAAACTATCTCTRTAGTCATGAAAGCCTGTAGGATCTTTTACGCAAAGATTGCTTGAGGGGAGTCTTAGCAATATGTATGAAAACATTATAGGAGAATGTAAAAAAKAAAAGATGGARCCAGGCTCTTCTCAGAAGTACCCAGTGAACAGATAGGAGACAATGGACACAAAGGGAAATACAAGAAACTCCATTTGAACTTAAGAGGAAACTTCAGCATAAGAGTGGTTACAAGGGAAGAGGTTACCCAGCAAAGTTGTAGAGGCTCCACCTTTGGAGAGATTCAAAACCTAACTGGACAGTTTGAGCAGGGATGCTGGATTAGAAAATCTCAGATAGCCCTTCCAACCTCAGCTGTTATCTGATTTCTGTGGCTTATGTGTAAATTAGAAATATCCAATTGGGTGTTAGAAGGAATAGTTCCACTCTAATTATTAAAAATAGTGTAGTAGAAACGTTTTTCTGAAGGAGAGGTTAGATGTTTTAAGCAAGGATACTTGCTGTTGAGTGGTGAGGGCAACCTGGTGAYAAGTGACATGGAAAAAGCTGTGGTACTCCATGCTACCTTTTCTTTAATCTTCTCTGTCAAGGTCTACTTTCGTGCGTCCAAATGGCAGAGTCTGGGGACAAGTGCTGCTAAAGATACAGGAAGCTTAAATTAAGGGTTAGTTAAGCAAACTGCATACACAAGTCCATAGCAGCTGGAATATATCCAAGGGAACTGGCTAATATTAGGACGTCTAGGACATCTTTCAAGACTCATGGCAGTCAGAGTGCTGGGAGAGGGYAAATGCACCTGTCTGGAAGAAAGGCGAGAAGGAGGATCCAGGGAACGGCAGCGCAGTCGGCTTCACTGCAGCTTCTGCAGGCAGGGAGCAAATCTTTCTGAAGGCCCTGTCTGGGCACACGAGTGGCAGTAAGGTGATAGGGAAGAGCCAGCATGAATTTTTCAGAGGCAAATCATGACCGGCCTGATTCAGGGTCTTACCTGTCAGCTTATTGTAAGTGGCTTTTCTCAAGGGTTGATACTGGGTCTGATTTAGTTTCATATCTCCCTTCACAACATGGGTGTGCATGAGGAAGTGCGGCAAGCTTACAGATGACACCAAGTAAAAGTGAACACTTGATTCAGTGTTTGGRAGAAAGAGGTGCCCTTTGGAGAGATCTTGACAAACTGGAGGAATGGGGTGAGAGAAACCTCACAAAACTCATGACATTACAACTAYGGCAAATGCAGAGCCCTGCACCAGGGACAGAATAACTCCGTTCAGTAGGACAGGTAGAGGGGTGACTGGTTAAAAGGCAGCTTTGTGGAAAAAGTCTTCCAGGTCTATGTAGACAGGATGTCTGTGAATGAACCACCAGTGTGTTCTTGTGGAGATGAAGGTAAACAGCACAAACCTTGGCTAGCAGCTTGAGGGAAGTGATTCTTCCCATCCATTTGGCACTTCTGAGTCCACATCTGTGTACTGGTGTCCACAGTTGGGGCTCCCCAGTACAGGGAAGATACTGGAAACGAGAGTGAGTCTGGTGGTAAATCACCAAGATGATTAAGGGCCTGGAGGAGAGGCTGGGGGAGCTGGTTTTGTTCAGCCTGGAAGAAGGACTAAGAGGGGGCTCGATTGCTGTCTTCCCCACTACCTACATGGAGGTTACAGAGAGCCTGGAGCCAGATTTTTCTTGAGAGCATATGGCAAGAAGCAGTAGCCCCAAGTAGTAGCAAAGAAGTCTGACTCAGTGTAAGAAAGAGATTTTTCACAGTGAGGAAGGGTGAAAACTGGAAAGAGAAGTTATAGAATCTTTACCCTTGCAGTTACTCAGAATTTGACTGGACACATCCCTGAGCACCTGATTTAACTTTTAAATGATTCAACTAATTAAAGATTTAAATGATTTAACTGATTTAACTTTTAAATCAGGTGAGGAGTGCTTTGAGGAGTCATTAGATTAGAGGGACCTCCAGAGATCCTTTTCAACCGCATCTTTTTTGTGATTCTAAATTCTGTGATATAGGATGTGTGGAAGAGGGAAAGGCATTGAAAATGCATCTACAATGGGTTTTCTGTTGTTGCTGCATCTTAATAGTTTGAAAAAATCAATTAGCTGCATAATAGAGCCGATCTAGTAGCTAATATCTTAGTATGAAGAGGATCCTGAGTGTTCTGTCTGATGACCTTGGAGTTGATGTCTTGATTTTGAGATTTTACCTGTATGGTTATGCAATTTTGCATGGTAATGTGAGAAATGTTATTATCAGACATGGCAAAAGCTTAGTTGCTGCATCACTGTGTCCTCTAGGGCTGTTTCTACTCTTCTGTTCTCATAGAAACCTTACCATTACTGAGCTAACTAGTTTTTTAATTTATCTAATTGGGTAATGTGATCCCCCACTGTGTTCTGCTGTAATTGCACCAAGAGAGGTTGCAGGGGATTTGGTCCCCTGTCTGGCTCTCCTGACAAATGCTACAAACCTGAGCACACCTCCAGGAGAGAGTTCAGGTGTTGAGTTTATTGCAGACTCAACACAGCACCAAACTATTGCTGCAAAATAGTTTATTTGTCGTAGAGCTAAATTCTCTTTACGATTCTGAATCTAATTGTATCTTCAAAACTGAATGTTAGTCTTCGATATGAAAAGGATTCCTGTGTTGTAAGAAGCTTCAGTATCTCTGGCCAAGTGTTCAGTATGAGGAGTTGTACATGAGTAACAGGGGGAGAGTAAGGTGGGGAGGATATTCTCTCTACCACCGGCAACAGACATTGGGACAGAGATAGGAAGTCGTACTGTGGAATATTTTTGAGAGGATTCTGCTTCAAAAGCAATGACTTCCTGAGGGAATTAACCAGTTGCTGAAGCGTAATTGCAATTCCAGTGAGGGAGGTAAAAGAAGAAGGGAGATAGTGCAGCATTTAAGACAGAGCTGGAATTGTTAGGGTGTATGTATTTGGAAGGATTGTTTGGAAATCATTCTTCTCCTTTCTTCAGTGGATTTTTCTCACAAGAAGGGGTGATTATCCTTTTGGAATGGAAAAAGTGGGAGTTSCTCCTTAATAATGAACCACATCCTCTCTGACTTCTTCTAGTTTCTGCACAAATTTACTTGGAGCACATGTATTTGTTTATCATTTGTTCAGTTAGAATAACATGAACTATTCATGAGACTTTTTGTTTGTGTGTTATTTGCTTTGTTTTTGGAGTTAAATATATTTTTTTAACCTGTTAATTGGAGAAAACAAATGGATGTGGACAACTGAAGAACACATATGAGCTCATTGATTCCARTCAGGACATAATAAATTACTATCTAGTAAAGTCCAGTTAGTAACTGGGAGAGAATTGTGGGAGGAGGATTGTAGATAGAAGAGTCAACTCTGACCAAAATAAGTCTGTTGTATGTGGGATATTTTTCAGCTTAAATTTTTGTTTCTTTTGTTTTTAAGTAGCTTAAGTACTAACCTGTTTYTTTTTTTCTGTTTCAGCATTAAAGCTGGACGCCTTCTCTCATACATTCCCTATCAGCTTTACACCAAGCAGTCGAGTGTTCAGAAAGGTCTCAACTTCAATACCATATGCAAACCTGAAGATGCTGTGCCAGGTCCAAGCAATACAGCTAAAGAGCTCAACAGGGTGTAAGTGTTTCTAATGTCTTTCATCCCTACTGTGTTCGTGTTTATAATTGCAGAGTGTTTTTACAKTTGATTTCACCATCAGTAGAAAGAAACTCTGAGTCACTGAAATGTAAAAAAGAAAAAAAGAACATGTATAGTTGAGGATGGAATTGCAGGATCTTTACTCAGACCTTGTGTCTAGTCTTTGAACCATAATTTACTGCATACCCAACTTAGGAGTTCCACTGGATATCTGTTTGGAAATAACAGTGTTGGAAGCATTAAGGGRTTCTGACTAGACACTGAAAAATAGGTCTTTATTTTAAAAACAAAAAAGCTGGTATGGTTTGATTGCTTTTACTAATGGTGTCCAGAAGTAAATATAAATGTGTACTAGCTTTTCAGTGCTTAGCTTTTTTTTGTATAGTAACACCAAGATTTAAGTGAGACTTGAGAGGATAGATTTGCAAAAACAGATGGATTTGAAAAAATGCAAATATAACAGATTTTTTAAAGACCTTAAGAAGGGAATGGAATTGAAGACACCAGTGGAACCAGTTTCCAAAGCACCAATTATTTTTTAAAAAAGTAAATACAGTAAAAGAAACCTTGCATTTGGACAGACTGTTCTTTTTATATGTGTGTGTCTATGTCTATATGTCTTTAGATGGTTCTTGTGTCTCTTTCAGAAGCACCTGGTATCGTTTGTTATGATATATAGATGATATAAGTAGATATAAGAAGTAAATGATATAGCTACTACTGCCTTCTGTTATTATGGTACACTTGAATGAGAAGAATATTCACACTTTCAAAAATACCTCTTTATTTTTACAAATGTGAATTTTAGACTTGCCCTATCTACTGATGCTAAGTATGTACCTCTGAAGATAACCCTTTCAACCATTGTTGCTTTTAATATCATTTATAATTGTGATAATATTAACCAAATTGCTATCACAGTTAATTGGCTTTCTGGTTTTACTTGTATGCTAATAATTACTCACTTCTTTTTTGTGAGTGTATTTAAAGTGATTGCTTYGGGAGTTTGGAGGGTGGTGGGTTTTTATAGTACATGAGGAATATGCATAATTCTTAATCAGGTTTTAATTCCACTTAAGCTTTGTAGCAGAGTTGATGTTTTTAATAAAAGCTTTATCTTTACTGAATGAGACTGAATGTAAAATTGCCAGTATTCTCATAGCAGAACACTTTATTTTACCTACTTAATATACAMAAAGTAGTTAGATCTTGGGTTTTGTTGCTGAAAGTATGCTTAGTTTATAGAATTTGAACATATTTTTCCTGAGGAGAAGATAAAATGAATCCAGCATACAAATCAAAAACCTGTTCTAAATCAACAGAAAGCTTCTGTGTGTGTTTTCATCATTTTTGTTGTAGCTGGAGTTGGAAAATTACATCCGCTGATTAAAAAGACTTGTATTTGTGATGACTTGCTGAACTGTTCATGCTGTCCGCAGTGGTAGAGTTCTCTTAAAGTAATAGACTTCTGTTAATATCGGAGAGCATGGGTCAAATTAAAAGCTGTGGAAATAGTTTCCCTAATGCAGGYATTATTTTGGTCGCTCCTGCACAAATTCTTGCTAGAATTCTATTAATATTGCAGCAAATCCATGAAAACGTTTTCAGCTGTACAGTCTTTTGTGACGTTGAAAGGATATAGCGCAAAACTTTGTGATAATTGCCTTGAGATGATAAAAACTAATCAAATACATCCCGATAGCAATTAACAAAATAAATACCTTAATACTTCAAATGCCTTGTAGATGTGCYTTTTTGTAAAAGAAAAGCTATTAAATTATCATATCTGTTTCAGAAATCATATTAAAAAGTGTGAGACTGAGAGTGAGATCACACCCAATGGAATAAGTAGCTGGCATGAAGAGGAAGACGAAAGTGACAGTTTTGGATTTATGGAGCTGGAGCCAGTCCTTCCTGAAAGGAAACAAAATGGGATTCAGCCTCACAAAGACAGCCCTGCCATTTTTAATGGACACACACACGTTTCTACCAGTGCCTTAAAGACACAGGATTGCTTGGCACCGTCCAGCACCAGTGTTGCCAGTAGAGTCTCTCCAGGCCCTGTGCAGGAGGAGGGGAAGACTGAGAAAGGCACYGTTGACTTCAGAGACTGCACAACGCAGCAGTTGCAGCAAAGCAACAAGAATAAAGACTTCCCGTGGAATCCACATAGGACTATGAGCAATTCCTCCTCATCTTCATCTTTGCACAGTAATACTAAACTAAATGGTGCTCACCACTCCACTGTTCAGGGGCCTTCAAGCACAAAAAGCACTTCTGGACCTGCTCCTAGCAAGGCAGCTTCCTCACCTGTGTCCAGACCTTCAGATTGTAGTTTTATTTCTGACTTTTATTCACGGTCAAGACTGCATCATATAGCAACGTGGAAGTGTGAATTGACAGAGTTTGTCAACAGCCTGCAAAGGAAAAACAGTGGTGTCTTTCCAGGAAGGGAAAAATTAAAAAAATGGAAAGCAGGCAGGTCCACATTTAAAAATGACACAGGTAGATACTTGTTTAAGAATGTTTATGTTCATAAGGTCTCTWTATATCTTTGCTCACGTGTTAACTGTCGATCTGAAACTAGTTTTCAGTGTTCACATGGCTCTCAGGCTATCTGGAATAGCTTGGTGACTTTAATGCATCTAAAACAAAAGGCTTAACTACTATTTWAAAAAAAATTGTGATTAGTGTGATATTCTGGTCTATATTCAATTTCTCCTTGCTAAAAAAAAAAAGGTCTTGCTTTACCAAGGCTTTACCAAGGTATGTGAAGTGACTGAGGAAGACAGTATTGTTACCTGTCTAAATGTAATTGCCATGTGAAAATCTTAAGAAAGGAAACGAAAAAAAAAAAAGCAAACTTGCAGCTTATAGTTCAGTGTGAAAAATTAAAAGACAAATAGCATTTGGAAATGAGCTAAAATCAAGGTGATATTTTTGTTAGTAAGGCTGTCATATTCCTCTGGATGTGTTTAATGGGGAACAGTGTCATACAAGTCGTGTGAACTTGGTTTATGGCAGAAGAGAAACGGTTTGTGTCATTTCATTGTCCATCAAGGGCCAAAATGAAAGTATATGTGTAATTTGAGAGCCTTAGTACTGTAAGTATACAGTAAATATTCTTCATCTTAATTTTTTTATTTGAATATACAGTATTATTCAATTAAAAGGCTGACTATGTGATCAGAGGGATTCTGACTCTGTTATGCTGTAAAACTAATCACTTATGATGGTTTGGAAATAAGCTCACAAAGACAAATTATCCTAAAAGTTTACTACTCTAAGAAATAGCTGCTTTTGTGTTTTTGCTGGCACACTGCAGTTTTAAAGCATGTTGGCTTATAAACTACCATCAAAATATGGTATAAACTAATGTATTGTACTTTTCCTTCAATTTGACTTAGCGAATTCTTGTAGTTAATTACTGTCTTTCATTTGTCAAGGAACAGCTTCTTAAGCACTGTCTTAGCTGCTTGGTTTATGAATGTCTTTTTTAATAGTCATTTAAATGCAGATGGTAAATTACTAAAATTTTTTTAAAGTACATATTTCTCATCATTCAGCAGTTAGCACAATAGTCAAGCAGAGCAAATAATAGGTATATTAAAGTATTTTCTCACTCTCATACTGCCTCTCATCGTTAGGCATTATTCAGATTAAGGTTTTACCTCAGCTGTATCCTCCCCTGGCAGGTCAGCAACATAGACACAGAAACTTGAATTTCTAGCGTGCAAATGCACAGAAGAATTACCAGAACTTTAGCATTATCGTTTTTGCAATCTGTAGGAATCTTGCTCCTCTTTGCTGGATGTTTGCATCAGTGTCCATACATCAGTTGGCAAAATCCAAATGCATAGAAGMTTCAAGTACATTCAGTGTGTTCTGTGAAAAGGGAGAGTCGACTTTCAGTGCAGCTGAACATTATCTTTTAGAACAGTGTGTTCTGATCCACGAACAAAAATCATGAAGCTCTCTCACGGATTCATTGTTAGCAGTGAAACGAAAATTGGTTAAGATCCAGTTCCCAATATATGCAATAATGTACTTGGGGTGGAGGGAGCTTGTTATAGTAAGAAAGTGTTAATTATGAGAAAAAATAGAAACTTAACTGTGATGCCTTGTTTAGACTGCTCAGTTACTGTTTTTGTTTTGTGGGGGTTTTGTCTGTTTTTTTTCGTAGCTTTTGCACTGAGAATTAAGGGAATGGTGATACCAACTTGGTGAGAAGAGATAAAAATCTTTGTAACTTAGTGTGGTAAAAACTTCATGATAGTCCTTGATGGCTGCTGTGCGTAGTACTGGGTTCAAGTTTTCTGTTGGTGTATCTTCATACTAGGTAATGTGTCTGTTTCGAGCTTGGCCAAGCCACCGAGCTGTATAATGCACGTGGATATGGATTGCTTCTTTGTGTCTGTAGCTATCCGAAATAGACCAGATCTCAAAGGTCAGTATCCAGTTTTCAGTGTCGCTTTACTGGTTTGAGGCTTTCTCTGCATACTAAACCAAAACCAAACAAAAATCCTACGTACTTAATGGATTGGACTTTGCATGTCAGTCTTGGCATCTTTTTGTAACAGCAGGACCACACAACTTTCCTATTCTTCTTTACTGTCTCACAGTCCAAAAGCATGTGGAAGAAAGAACTGGAATTCTCTTTGCTGTCTTCATTTTGGTGTCCGAAGTAACAGCAGAGAAGTCAAATTCAGAGCAGTCATTCCGTGTGACACTGCACCTACCTCACTGAGGCTTAAATCTACCACATTAGAAATTGGAATTCAAATTATAGCTGTACCGAAAGTGATTTGTGGTCACTGTGTTAAAAAAAAAAAAAAAAAAAAAAAAAAAAAAAAGTGTTATCTGGATGATGGTCAATGCAGTTGGCTCCAGTTAAAACACCAGTTCTGCTATGTAGATGCTGAATTTTGATGTTGATGTCTGAAGACTTGCTRYAATGTTCTGAGAAAGACTCAAAACTATGTATTCTTCATATACATTTCTTACATACAGTATGTATCTTAAAAACTGTATTTCCTGCCAAATTTTAAATTCCAGGATGGCAAGATAGAGAACCGAAGACTTATGTGTGAATATTTTTTCTTTTCTGTAAACCTGCACCAGAACTTGCAGTGCRTAGGTTAGCTTGCTGTTCAAAAGTTAGAGGAGTGTTGATACTGTTAAAAAAGCCAGAAGTTTAACTCAGGATTTGATTTTGTATAGTTAATTGAACGAGTGGAACCAAATGTGTTGATATGCGTAAGTTTTTTTAGCTTGCTTTAGCTAACAAACCTGCTAAAAATGTTTTAGAATTTGTATGCTAATGAATTATTAGGGCACTGGTGAAGTTTCACAGCTTCCCTTTATAGTAGTTGTTCAAGACAAGCCACTATGGCTGCATTTTCACTCTTTCAAAAGTTTTCATCTCTTCTATGTCTAATTAAGTCATAACACAAAGTCACTCCCATAGCTGTTTGCTCCTGTAACGGCGCCAAAGCTTGAAGTAACTTAAAATAAAATGGACATCTTCATAATCTTTCCTTGGATGTGCTATTATTAACCTGTGGGTTCTATATGTGTTGTCATCTAATTATGTGCATTTCTTCTCCACAGGAAAACCAGTAGCTGTTACCAGCAACAGAGGTGCAGGAAAGGCACCACTGCGCCCTGGAGCCAACCCTCAGCTTGAACAGCAATATTATCAGAATAAACTATTGAATGGCAAAGCAGGTACTAAAAACTGATTTCTTTTTCTTTGATTAAGAACTTTAAAGAAAGGGAAAGTTACTAATAAGATATGTAGTGGATAAACTCTTTTTTAGTTGAGAAAAGAAATGTTTTTGGATAACGCAGTGCTTGGTGACTTTAGTGATCTGCCGTTGCGACCTTTTGAAAGTTGTCCTTGCTCTGGGGGTATAGTATCTTAGAGTAATTTAGGTTTTATTCACTTTTTTTTATTGAGGGTGAGTATAATTAAGTGTGGGGGTGGTTTTTTTTGGTTTTGTTTTAGTAGAAAATATAGATTGTCTGAGCACTTAGTTCTCAGTATTACAGAAGTATATTACAGAAAAGCAGGTGCAAAATATATTTTGAAAAGCTACTGATATCTTTTATGAATAGAAAGTACAAATGACAGCATATAGCCAGTAAGGCATTGATWGGTTGCAGTTGATTTTTAATTGCATTTATATACCTGTGTACAGTGACTTAATTTGGGAGGTACTTAAAACATTTTGGTTATTTGAAGAGTCTGGCAACTTCTGTGAATTCTGACTTTCCAGTAGTTTCTTTCTTGGAAAGCAAGGCATCTTKTGTAGTTGGAGAATTCTTTACTTTCCTACAGTCATTTGGAGCCTCCTTACTGTTTCTGTATTCTCAAGTAGCAATGTACTAGTGTATAGAATAGCAGTATACTGGTATAAAGAAAATATTAATATTATTGTCTGGTTTTCTGATGGTTACCAGGTGTGAACTGCGTTTAGCATGGGAGCATAGAATTACTAAACATAAATGGTAACTTTGCTTCTCCTTGAAGTTTAAATGAAGGTGTTTTTTATTGCCACTATTTGATTTTAGTTTAGATTGGAAGTTGCCTCTCCTTTGACCAATGTACACACTTCTTACTGGACTTGTAGCAGATACTGTTGTTCTAGTTTACTCTGAAATGCTAATACTGTTTAAAAAGGGGGTAGGGAAATAGGTAGATTTTCAAAGACACTTGGAAACAAGGTATTACAGTAAGTGATGCCTTTTAGTCTCTTTGCTGTAGTTTAAGTACTCGTTTGCACTGCAGTAGAATATATGTTTGTGGAACCTGCTGGCCTTTAATTTTGGGAGGACATGGTTGACTTTCTTGTAAGTCAGAAACTTTCCAGACTTAGTTTCTGCTGTGTTTGTAATGTCTTTTGTAAGCGTGTTACAAAGATAGCTGTGGTTTTACAGGCTTAGATTTTCCATAGTACAGTTTATGTATGAACCATTTATTGGTAGCTCAGTTTTAAACAGTGACATTTACTAATAACTTTTATTAGAACATATCATTGAATAACCATGTGACACAGCAAAGTGAGGGAGTTAAAATTAAGGAAGCCTAGCTGATATAAATTAGTATGTTCTCTGTATTGCCTCAATCCAACAGCTTCTCTTTTGCTATATGTATTGCTTAGAGGTACAATAGGTTTCGGCCTTGTGATGTAGCAACTCAGGTTCTTATTTCAGCAGCTTCTCCGGGATGTCTCCACTGTCATTTATTCTAACCTCAGCATCCAGTCCCCACTGGCTTGCAGGCAGGCAGGCAGCTAGCTCGTCTTTCTTGGAATTTAGTCTGATTGTATAGCYTGTTGTTTTGGCAAAAGGATTTTTTTTTTCCTCACATTGTTTTTACAGTCTCTATCTCATTAGCTGCAGATCCTTATTTTTTAGTCTCTATTATTTTTTATCCCTGAGTGCAATATTTTTATCAACAAAGTAGCCTGCTGTTTCTGCTTACATTCTCATAAACACATAGATTGACTTCCTTTTGGGTAAAGGAAATTAAGGTTTGTTGTAGACTTGTAAGAAAACATATAACTACATTTTTGTTTAGGCTTTTCTCACATCGTGATTAGCTTAGGAGGTGTATGTGAAACACTTCWTAGCACGTGTTTAACTGTGTCTTGCCACAGGTAAATATGGTCTGGCAGGTCCATRTAACACATTGAAAACTGATCTTTTTTTCTAATATTAAAAATAAAGAATCGTATTGTGAGTGAATGACATAAAAAGGTGGCTGAGTCCAACTTTGAACATATGCATATTTTTACCTCCATGTTTCAACATGGAATCTATTTTTTTGATGCTTTGTGCTTTCCAGGCTATTCTCTTTGACCTTGCCTTTTGCAGGCCTTGCTTTTTAGAAAAAAAAAAAAGCTACAAATTAAAAAAAAAAAAAAAAACAACCCTGAAACCTATGAATCAGTTTGACTGCATACTGAATTCTGCTGCTTCAGCTACTTTTTTTGCAGATTACTTCTTCAGTGATACTAGTTCCTACCTTTTGATCTGCATTGCTGATTGAGTATCTAGTCTCAATAGACTCTTGCATCCTCTATGAAATACTTTCTTTTTCTTGTTTGAATTCATCCAAATATGTAACTTCCAAATTTAAAAATTTGCTATCATTCTGTCCCTAGATCTCCAAASTGGACATAGGCTTTCTGGGTAGTAGGGATTACCTCTCTACATAGATACCATCTTTTGACACTCATGTCCTAAAGATAAAGGATTAACATGTGTTAATCAGAATTCATATTTTGAGGTCTCTCTTTCGTGGCCAGGATGCCCAAGATGTGAATATTTTTTAGGCTTCCTTTCCCTCAACCCTAGTATCTCCTATTTTTCATTCTGAAGAGCAGCASTTTTTAACCATCATATTAGTCACAGATTTATTCTCAGCGATTTCTTTTTCACAGACTTGGGTCCTGGCCTCTGATTTCTCCATCCGTTGCTCCACATTCACCATGTGCCTGTCTAGTTTCCCAGCTTTTGATGAGAGGTTCTCTACCTTGCCTTCCATTGAGGACAATGTGTTCTGCATTGCCCTGCATTTCCCATGAAGTGACTCCATCAGTCCGCTCTGCTGCGATGTGGAGAAGCTCGCCGAGCCCAATGAAGATAGTCAAGATGGCAGCATCACCTCAGGCCAGGGCGCAGGAAGGCACGGACTAAAGGAATTGTTCTTGACACTCTTGTCTTTATTTGGGGCGTAATTTTGCTCTAATTTGCAGCTGCACACATCTTAGGTAACTTACTGAGCTCTTCATACGTAAATACATTTACAATTTTAAAAGATACTTGAAGTTAGCAGGAAGTCTGAACAAAAGCAGATTTTCATGTGAGCCAAGTTCTGGCCCTGCTGTCTCCACTCACTCGCCACATCTGATAACTACTTGTATGTGCACCTAGCACCCTGTTTTCTCTCAGTTGAGCTGTCAGTGTGAAACTTGTTGGTATTATGATGTATGATTAGGTATTGTGGCACTTTGGCATAAACTTTGTATATSACAAAGGTGCATAGAATTAAATGGACTACGGTAATGAGAAAGAACTATAGCATGTGTATTGGACTTGATTTTGAGTAAATAAGCAGCTCTCTGTCTTTATGATAGCTTTTTGTTTTGATTCTGATTGGAAATTTGGGAAGGAATAGCAATGTTCGCATCGATATGTGCTTTCAGACTAACCTGTAACTTTGGGCCTAGACATCCTCTCTCATGATCTGCACCTACATTAAACCCCTAAATAGAAAGGAAGAGAACTTCTTTACTTGACCACACAGTATTGTGTGTCCTGAGTTTCTGTCCTAGTATCAAGTATGCAGTTGGCCTCAGAGTATGCTGTAGAGCTTACAGAATTAGGAAAGGCCTGTCTCTTGTCTTAAAAGTCTGGGATTACAGTCTTTATAGTTGTAGCCCTTTGATCCRAGAGAAATTTGTGGTGGTTTTTGGGAGAAGTTGCATACATGAATTATTAGAAAGTAATAATGGAGATTTTGTCAGTGAATTTAGTTAGTTAAGAGTATTAAATGTCAGTTAAGAGTATTAAATAATATACATAAGTTTCTAGTTAGTTTTAATAGTTTTTTTTAAAGCTACTTTGTAAATATCTTTGCTACTTTATTTGGCTCATTAAAGGTCATTTTGGGGTATATAGCTTGAAAAAATGTTTAGAAATAGTTTTGAATAGGAGKCTTTAAGTATGAGAAGCAGTGTAATTTTATTTAGAATTTAATTGCTCTGCCTTAGTGGTAATTGTGTTTTTTTTTAAAAAAAAAAAAAGGAATATAGCTTTATTTCTTTTTTAAATATATCTTTTTGTTCAGGGAAGCAACTGGTAATTTCTCAGAGTTATGCATTTTGTTTATAGGCGGTAACTGTGTTTGATGATATCAAGAGTTTGTCTAATCATTGTTATCCTCATTAAAGATAGCTGAAATCTCTCATAGTTCTGTAATAATAGTGTAGGTAACCATCTGTAAGTTATTCTCTAAAATAGGAAATTAGGAAAGGAACTTCACTGTAGCAGACTATTGATCACAGTAATATCTGCAGACCTATCTGTAGAGAGAGATTACTTGGGGCTTGGGGGAAACGTGTCTSTCCTTTTCGTTTGGTTTGGTTTCTTGACTGTGGTATGAATGAATTTCATACTAAGAATGAAGAATGAATGAAGAATGAACAGGTGAAGAAGCTGTATAGAAATTGTTTCAAGAATACTCCATCATTTTTGTTTCATTCATATTCATTTTGCTGAACTTGTAAGAAAATAATGTTAAAACAAATGYAACTATTATTTTCCAAGCAGAAATTAGAGTTCCTGATAAGCCGGACTCATCAGTCTGGGAGCATCCAGATTCCACAGAAATGAACGGAGCTGATACGGATCTCACTATTCTGTCCATGGCTGAAATTGCCTCTTGTAGTTACGAAGCCAGGTGAGTAMAAGTTACCCACAAGGTGGCTGAAAAGTCTCATACAGACAAGTGTAAAGTGACTGTAAATAGCAATTGTCAGATCATGTATTGTTTATTTATTTTCAGAAATTATTTTGTATGTCAGTTATTATGTCCTTCCCTGTACATGCAGCTGCTTTTTGAACATTGTTACAGCTCTCAGCCTAACCTGCATGTTAACTGAAACAAAACCGATTAAGGAGAGCTTTGTGCTGTTCACAATGATAAGTTTGATTTCAAAATGTAATCTTCATTTCTTTATATTAACACTGACTTCCCTTGTGAAGTTGAGACCATTGTGTTACTGAAGGTTTCAGTTAAAATGAGACAAGGATCTCGCTGATCACATTGAATATTGCAGTTAGTATAGCTTTTAACTTTCAGAATTTGAAATATCTTGYTATATAACCATAGTGCTGAAAATGTGGTCTGCTACACTCATGGAAAAATACTTCAGCAATTACTATTTCACTGTAACTTTTTAACTATACCAGAGTAGGCAAGGTGCTATTTTTGTCGCTTTATTTGTTGTGGGAACATAATTTTAAAGGATTACATAGTGGGATATAAGAGCTAGCTGTCTTAATATCTGCAGTATTTGCTTGGTTTTAATTTGAAACATAAGATGGCAGGCAGTGCTTCATGGAGTTTTTCTTTTTTAATGTTTCAAACACATCCCCAAACACTTGCTGTCCATGCTGTATACCTACTCATCATACAGCTAATTAAAATAGTCTATTTGCAACAGTTTTTTTCTTTATTTATCAAAATGCTGGCTATCCCCTCAGTAATTTACTTTTGTGGAAAGACAGATACTTCATTTGGAAATACCACATACTGACRTAATTTGTGAAGAAATTGGTAATACTTGTTTTTGTTTCTTATTGATTTTAGACAAGTGGGCGTAAAGAACGGAATGTTTTTTGGGCAAGCAAAAAAGTTGTGTCCAAATCTTCAAGCAGTGTCATATGATTTTGACTCATACAAAGAAGTTGCACAGACAGTATATGAAATACTAGCAAGGTAATGTGTGCTGTAACTTTGCATGATTTTCCATGGTTATGTTGCCTGGCATGTTCTCATCTGCCTCTGCTGAATGCCAGTATTTGAGCTTGGATTTTCGTCTCTATGTTACTCTCCCACTCTCTGAAAACCATTCCTATGTCAGACCTTCCTTTTGTAGTACTTTGTTATTTTGAGCACTCTGTTTTGTCTGAGCACTCTTTTATCTTGGAGCCAAATCCTGTAAATTGTCAGCATCTGATTCCAAGGGAATCATTTTTAAAACTTGCACTGTTTTCACTGTGAGAATTGATTCCTGCTTGGTAGTGAGATACTTCTGAGTGTTTTTTGTTCTTGTTGTTGTTGTTTTAGTTTGGTTTTTTTTTTTTTAAGCAATTTAAATTGCTTACTGGAGTAATTTCTATTAGAAACTACTCTGATTTAAAGTGCACTAGAACAATATTGGAAATCTGTTAGTGTGAGTAAAATATGAATATCCAACTCTCCTTCTCCAGCTGTTCCTCTAAAAGCATGAAGCATGTTGAAATTAGTCTTGCATAATAGTGTTACTGTAATTTGCTGTATTAACAGTTTTAATCTTTGTGTGTGATACTAAATAAGCAGGGAAATACCACCACAAAAGGAAGACTTTATTTGCTACATATTTGTTTTAACAGATGGTGAGCTGTTGCTGGTGTTTCACCTCCTTTACTTTGTGTTGATAGCTATACTCATAACATCGAAGCAGTCAGTTGTGATGAAGCACTAGTAGATATCACTGAAATCCTTACAGAGACCAGGCTGACTCCTGATGAATTTGCAAATGCTATCCGCACCGAAATCAAGGCCCAAACTAAATGCACTGCCTCGGTTGGCATGGGTAAGTCCCTTGAGTCATTTCTGCTATGTAAGATTGGCAAAACAGTAAGTATTCGTGGAATATGGAATATATTGCTGTGGACATTAAATAAGTGTAATAAAAGTGCAAGTGTTTCGTGAATGGAAAGTTTCAAAAAAGGTTTTATAAAATTGCTATCATCTCTGCTTTCTTATTTAAAAAGTATGCTAGAATTCCATCTGCATATTTACACTCATTTTTATAAAATGTTGCTCTGTTTCTTCCAGTAAGTTGAAAAAATGAGAGCAGATACTGTTCCTTGTAAGAGAAAGTAGTARGAGTTTATAGCGTAGCATGATGTAGCGTAGTTACAACTTACTGAAAGCAAAGCTTGTGAAATCTGTAGCAAGTATTGTACACAAAATCACATATCTGAAAATAGTTTCTTTATTTCTTTTTGCATGGCCTTTTCCTTTCTCCTTTGCTTTGTTTTATTTTTTGTTTGCTTGTTTGTTTTTTCCTAATCACATTAGAGTAATGAGCATCCGGGAGTAAATACTGAGTGTACACAAGTGTATAAATCCACTTGTGATGCAAAATGAAATTAATTATTGTAAGTCTTACTGGTACAATTCTTCTTTTTGTTTCTTAAGGCATCATGGTAGTATAGAGACTGTAAATCCCTTGGTTCCTGTTTGTGTCTTGCTCTGACTTGAAACACATTTGTAATCTCTTTTATATTTATTGTGTTGTTGTTTAGTGTGTTCAGTGTGTTATTTTTTTCTGTACAAAGAGAGAAATTGCTTTTTAGAGCATTGTTATCATATTTCTCTTACTGATGAAAAGAGGCAAATACCTATGAGCAAATATTTATTTCTCATCAATTTGTAGTAGGTATTTGGAGAATAATTGGTGTCCTTTATAGAAATTTGTGTGGTGGGTACACAGCAAGGACTTTGTCTTTCAACTCTTAATTCATCACAAAGTAGATGATTTGGGGGATAGTAATGGGGCTGTCGCATGAATGTGGAGACCTGAGTTCAAATACTGGGTCTGACATCTCATATAAGGGATTTCTACGTTACCCAATGGGAAAGTTACACCAATACAATAAAATGTCTAAATGTCTTATAGAAATATCTTAATAGATATGGTTATACCATGGAGATCCCTTCTCTTATTTCTGATTGGCAGTAAATTAAAAGAGGACATGCTTATGCTGGTTGAATAGATTTAATCCCTACCCCAGAAATTTTAGTGGTTAAACTAAACTGACTCAAACGATGCTAGTGAAAGATGATGGTTACCAGCTCCTCTGTAAATATCCCGTGCCTTGGCCTCTCATTTGTTAAGTGAGGTATTAATTTTTTCCCTACTTTAGTATTGTGGGAAAAATATACTGCMGAAGGTGAATCACTGAGATGTTATGGTATTAGAGGCTATGTTGGTCTGCTTGGTAAATAGGAGAAGATCTTCAGAAATCTTTGGTACTCTATAGACAAAACATGGATCCCTGAAGTTAAAGAGAGAATTGAATGAGTCTGTTTTTAATTGTTTCATCAACTTAGTCTCTTAGCAGAAACAGTGCTCATAAGTCTGTATACACTGAATTTGACTGTACCTGCTGTGTTTTTCCTTTAACTGTTGGATTAGAAAATCCTATTGGAAAAGACAGAATTTACCACAGGCATGCTTCAATCTGTTGTTTTCACAGGTTCCAATATTCTGCTGGCCAGAATGGCAACTCGTAAAGCAAAACCAGATGGACAGTATCACTTAAAACCAGAAGAAGTGGATGATTTTATCAGAGGCCAACTTGTTACCAGTCTTCCAGGTACCTGTCTCTTCTTTTACAGAACGTTTTGCCTCCTGAGACTAGAACAGCTGTAACTACAAATCTGTGTTCAGGTTTCAGTCTCAAATATAACAAGATTACGTGTTATTTCAGGATTAAGATCTGAAGGAAAAGATTTACTAATCACGTCTTAGAAGAATCTCAGGGACCTCTTTGTATCTTTTAGTTAATGGTGTACTACAAACTGACAGCATAGGTAGATTTTTCAATAAAGAACAACAAATTTCTTGAATTYCAACTATTTTTGCTCTGTCCTTTGATAAAATGGTTGCATGATTTGCAGTTTTAACAGCACTAATAATTTTGTAATCCATCTGGCACTTCCAAACAAGTTCCAAAGATACAGTGTTTCTACAAGTTTTGTGAAAAATGACAACTGGAAAGTGGGGAGTTATCCAAATTAGTACAGCTTTAGAGGGGCAGGCAGGCAAAATTCAATAGCTATTTTGGCAATAGCTCCAAGTTGTCATATGTACAGCCAGAGAACATGAACATGGCTTTTTTCTTCTTTTCCCCTCTGCTACATTYCGATTCCAATAGGAGAGATTTGACTCTCCTATTGGAATCTGTAATGATTAGATGGGATGCCTGCGGACATGGGAAAGACCTGAGGAAAATGCTGGGCGGGAAGAAAGAAACCTTCCTAGGTTAGGGAAGCTCCTCGAGCAGTAAGAGAAGCTGCAGACAGACAGAATGGATCTGGACTTAGTGCCAAGAAATAGTGATAGGCAGTCATGACATAAGGAATACACCTGTCTAAAAACAGGCTGATGATTTATTTATTATTTTTTAYTTCTAGTGTTCTAGGAAAATAATTAAAGGAGTTGTAAGCTAAAATGTTTTCTGCCATGCAAATCCATAGCGTATTGCTCTTCAGTATGTTATTAACATAGTTTGACACAGATACAATGCAAAAACTGCTGAACACGCCTTATTCATGCTCTGTATGTTAGTGATAGTTGTGCTCAGCCTTCCTGTGCACACACATATTTAGTGCTACGTATTCAAAATGGCAAACTGCTCTGTTTAAGGAAAAAGAAGCAGAGATCTGTCATAATAGGTGAGAGTCACTAAAATGGAGAAGTACTACAAATAGAATTCACGTACGGATGCAGGTGTGCCAGAAATTCTCTTTGCATATCTTCTGTGACCAAACAAACTGCATATACACCACAGTACCCTTGCTTTTCATCATGACTTGTGGGAGATTTTTTTCCCTCCAGGAAAACCATTCATATAGTAACGTGCTTTGACTTGAGTCTTTTAAAGTTTTCACTCATACTTCATGTGTTCATAGCAAAAGCTTCCTAGTGCTTGTAGCAGTATATCACTAAAATAATGAAACAGGTTCTGAAAGATAGAATCTGGCTCCCTGAGGTTTTTGACTTTTGCTGTCTTTGCCCCTGCAAACTTAAAAGGTTTAATATCTGCCAGAAACAAGAGCCTACCTCTCATCAAACCCATAAATATACATAAATTTATCACACTTACATATGTGCAGTTGCCATGGATACATACACTTGCCAGTGGTTGGTAATTCAGAGCACCAGCGATACAGGTGTATGCTGTCACTTGCACTTGAAATAGTGTTTTTCTACCTAGGAAGCAACGAAGCAGTAGTAAAAATATTTGCAGGTTTTCCGTTAGATTAAATCACTTGTATGCAATGGTAAAAACATATTACATGTTGTACACCCTCTCTGGACTGAAGATTGTAATATTCAGAGCTACGTGCACCATAACAGGCAGTACTTTGTCAAGGAGGTTTACAAGCAAAAATCATTCACCTAGAAATAAAGGAAAGGTTCTGCACTGTGGCACCTTAAATGATTTCATTTAAGGTAATAGACATTTTGAAAACTACAGATAAATACAGYATTTCATTTAGTGAAATTTACTTGTTATTATGATATTAATTTGCACCTGCATATTTTAGGTTTAGAARAGACAAATTTGATTCTGTCAAAACCTGACTGTCCTGAATTGTGCGGAGTTAATGGAACTAATGGTTTTCTTTTTAGGAGTTGGTAGGTCAATGGAATCCAAGCTGGTTTCTTTGGGGATTAAAACCTGTGGAGATCTACAGTGTGCTTCAATGTCAAAACTGCAGAAGGAATTTGGTCCAAAAACAGGACAGATGCTTTACAGGTTTTGTCGTGGTTTGGATGATCGACCTGTTCGAACAGAAAAAGAAAGAAAATCTGTTTCAGCAGAAATAAACTATGGAATAAGGTTTACACAGGTAAATTYCAACTTGCTTTCTTTTCTGCTGTGACTTCTTTCAACTATAGGGGTTTCTTTTCATACTCAGATTTTCATTTAGATCAGACCACTTTGATCTGTTACAGCACCATTTTATTGACCAAATAGAAATGAGGAAAATGAAGAAGTAGGAGATCAAAGGGTATAATGGGAGGAGAGCCTGCTGAGATTTGGACTGAAAAGACGAATTAATTCACAAAACTGGCTGTTCTACAGTCGTTGTACCAGTCTAGTGCAGACAACCTGATTGCAGTAGTTTTGTCAGCACCTACTGCATTCTCTTTCATTAAAATGCTAATTATTATTATTATTCATTAAAATTCATTTCATTAAAATACCATAAACATGGCTGTGTCTAGAGCCATCACCAGTTTGGTGCAGTRCAACATTCTGATCCACTTTTTTCGTGTTTTGTTTTGTTCTGCCCGGTAGATCTTATCAAATATTACAAAGGAGTGGTGCTGACAGAATTGTATTAAAATAATTAATTTCTTTATTGAGATATTAAGCATTTGTAGAAATTATGGAATAAATCAGACCTCAGAGTGTTGTGTAGTTCAGCCCCCTGCTCAGATCAGGGTCAGTTACAAGGTCAGACCAGGTTGCTCATGGCTTTATGCAGTCAGGTCCTCTAGAGAGACTACACAGCTCCTCYGGGTAGCTGAGCCACTGCTTGGCTTTCCTTAGGAAAAGGAAATTCCTTTTCCTATAAAATCCTATCCTATAAAATAAGGAAATTTTATTTTCCTTATAAACCCCAAGCACTTCATCTTCTAGGAATATACCTAAAAATTGCTTTATAATTTTTATTGGAAGAAAATGCAGTTACCTCCATAAAGACCTCTTATTTTATCTTAAGACTGTTTTCAGCATGAAAGCTACCATCTTGCCATTCTTCAACTGCATACAGTGTAAACATAAAACACTTAAAATTAGACAGTTGCCTGTGAGTCAGCTTGTTCTTTTCAGTCGAGAAAATCTTACATATTTTTAAGTCTTAGCAATGCACATTTCACCAACTGCCAGAGTTTGTGGATTACATTAATTCTTAATGATTTGCATCATGTATCTGAAAAACAGTGATGTTCTAAACAGTGGAATGTTGGCTTTTCCTTTTAGCCTAAGGAAGCAGAAGCTTTCCTTCTGAGCCTCTCGGAAGAAATCCAACGTAGGCTGGAAGCTGCTGGTATGAAGGGTAAACGGTTGACTCTAAAGATTATGGTCAGAAAGGCTGGGGCACCGGTGGAGCCTGCAAAATATGGAGGCCACGGAATCTGTGATAATATTGCCAGGTAACTATGCATCAAGACATGAATAGGCAGAAGCAGGTATCAGCCTCCTCCTGCAGGCTGAAACTTTCAGGAAAATAGAAATTTTAGAGATGCTTAGTACYTTTCTGTCTGCTTATCAAACCTACATCAGGTATAGAATCCTATCCTCAGTTCTGGTGTTTTGCTCTACATACACAATCCTTCAGTCATCAGTACTATCAGAAATTGAAAGGCACAGGAGAAAAGATTGCAGTTTTTGGAGGTAGCCGGCATGGGAAAGAAAGAATCTGACTCCTCAAGTGCATTCTTTGTGGTTTGAAAATGCTTTCTTGAAAGAATGTGCTCTTGTGTGCCGGACACTACTTAAAAAATAAGTGGTTTAGTGAAATATGTTCAAGGAATTATTGTGGTTATCCATTTCCATAGCCAAGGTTATCCATTTCTCTTGATGGGGATGTACATTTTCCTCCCTCTTGGAAAGAAGAGGCTTAATATCTGGCTTAATAATCCATAATTTAATATTATTCTTGTTTTGATAATAGTCTCATGAAATATTGTAGCTTGTAAAGGCTTTTGATCTTTTAAAACTTTTATCTTCAAACRATAGCCCGTATGTAACATGTATGTTGTTAGTGTCCACATTCATTGTCCTCAATATTGGAGCTCTTTTTCCTTTTGCAGTGCTTGCAGAAGTCGTGTTGACACCCTGCACCCTGCAGCATGTGCAGCRATGGTTTCATTCCTTGCAGTGACCAGCTGAGTTGAAACGTGCTGCTGCAAGCTGTTCCCCTCAGCCGTGTGGTGGTTGTTTTTCTTGAGGAGCTTCCTGCTATTCCTTGATAGCTCTTTAATCTCATGTTGATTGTGACAGTTGGAGTCGATTCTCGAGGAAAAATGCCTTTGTCTTGTCAAGATGGGTGTCTGATCATTACTCTGCTCCTTCAGCACATGGGGACTAGGGACAGTAATTGCAGAATTGCTTGTTACAGAAGCCTCTGAGGCCGTTTAGCATCCTGAGGATCCAACTTGTCATCAGACATCGTGTACTACAGAGATTCATCTCAGTACAGACATATTTCTTGGTGTCAAATCTCTCTGCTATTTCTTTCACCAGTAAGTCTGCAAAGAATATTTTTCACTGCTAGAAGGGAAAAGACCCTTGGCAACTGGTGTGGAGGTAGGAAGGCTGGATCTCTTAAAACTGTGTCTCTAAATCTTGAATTCAGAGTGGCCATTTTTCCTAGCATTTCAGTTGTTTGAAAAGGCAACAAGTCTCTTGTCCTTAAGAGYGTTATTCTTTCATGTAGTCATCAGTTCCTCCTCAGGATGATCTCTGAAGGTCCCTTCCAACCTCAGCRATTCTGTGATTCTATGTTCAGAAGTGCCTTTGTTTCCTTGTGGCTTGTTACCAGTGTAGGGATGTGTCTTTCTGCTTGGTCTCATCATGACGTTGTTGGTCTTACCAAGATGCTGCCCTGTCTCTGGTGAACAAGGGTGACCCAGCTACTGAGCCAGGACGGTCAGTCAATAGTCACTGTCAAAGGAACCGTCAGCTTCCTTKGAACTTCAGCCTTCAGCTTCTACAAGCAACTTCCTTTGTGTTTTAGAGCTGAACAGCAGCATGGGCTTGCACAGTGTCTCTTCTGTCCTTGTGAGCTTATGACTTACAGTTCTGCTCCAACATGCTGTATTAGAAAACAGAACAGTGGTATTTCTACACTGACATCTTAAGTCCTGGTGGTACCATAGGATCTTCTAAAATATATGTATTTTACATAGCGCCTTATAAAAGATTTTTCTGGAACGGTGTAGCTTTAGCTCTAGCCTCCATTTCTCCCTAATGAATTGCTGTTTAATCATTGAGTTGATCTGCTTTCTTCTTTGCTTTGAACATTGGCCTCTAAGGCTTAGGGAGTCCTTCATATCCTTCATACCAAGAAAACTTTTCATTTTGGCAGGACCAGAGCTTTCCAGAGATTACTTGGCCATTCATGTCAAATTCTGACAGATCCCAGACCCTGTAACCAGACAGCATCAAAGTGGGCAGTAGGTTGTCATGAGGGCACCCGGGAAATACCAAAACATCATCTGGAATTTCCTTGTCCCTGGTGCCCATTCCACCAGAGTTAACACTGCGACAGGGACCTCAGTGCGAAAGATTTCCATCCCCCTAATATGAGGATTAGCTACCTGCAAGTCAGACCATAAGCTCCTCAAATAGTGTGTCGTGGGGTACCCGGAGCTGCCAAGTGCCCTGCCAGGCACTTCCAACTGCAATTGCTGCCACTCGGCAGCTCGGTAGCAGTGGGTGAGAAGCCGCTGTGCGAACTTGCSTGGGTACTTGCCCTGTCCCTTGTAGGTTTGGGGTGTTGAGGGGAGCTGTAACCTGCTTGTAACCTCCTACACCTACTTCTGCCGCCTTCTGGAGCTCTTGCCTTGGAGTTTTGTCATCTGAGAGGAAGTTGAAGCGCTGGTGAGCAAACCCCTCCCTGGGGACTGTGAGCTGTGCTTAGCCAAGGGCCCGGCCCGGGAGCACTTGTGCAGGTACTGCAAGGGGAAACGCTCCTGCCTGCCTCCAGCTYGCAGCATGAATGTAAATCTGTCCCAGGACAAATTAATGTCGGGGCTGCACACCCTCAGAATGGTCAATCAGGAAGTAATTTGTCTTTCTGTAGAACGTGCTTTGACTTAACTACCTTTAAAAAGAAATCACAGAACAAAAAAAGTGAGTTCTGTTTCTGCATGCTAAAAAATTATGATGTGTCAGGGTTTTTTTTTGAAGCCTTCTCTGTAATAAATACAGAATTGTTTTATTTAGGATTTGTGAAATAGTTGCTTTTAAAAAAATCTTTGTGTTCATTGTAGGACTGTGACTCTAGACCATGCAACAGACAGTGCAAAAATAATTGGGAAAGAAACTCTGAATATGTTTCACACCATGAAACTGAACATATCAGATATGCGAGGGGTGAGTCCATGTGAAAAACAGAATTTTTCTTCGTCAAATTTCTTTGTCATCTTTAATAAAATTTCGTTAATGCAAAGCTTGTGTGAATTAGCCTATACAATCATATTGGTTTTTATATTTATTTTTTGAGAAAGAAAACAGTTAAGCTATTTGTATATTTAATACGACATGGATTAATCTGCAACTTGCAGCCTGAAGTAACAAAATTTGACTGTATCATTTGCAGTTGTATTAGCCTGTATAGATTTGATTTCGTCATAGAATTTTCACTAAACTTTGGCACAATTATTAGGAAAGCAGCAAATATAAATAGTGCTGATAATGCCTGACAGAGATCGAGACCATAGCAGAACACTACTGTAGACTTAAATCCAGAGGAGTTACCCAGAGTTGGCCTTTGCCTGAGGGTGGAACTGCTGGCTCTGTCACAGCACGGCTCGGTTGGGAGGCTCGTCCTCCTTGCAGTGGTTCTGTCACAGCGCTGTGAAGCCATAATGAGAATATATTGGCACGAGCCATTTGTTAACACTGAGCACAGCAGACTCTGTAAAGCAAAACTGCACTTACAGGTGTAGAAGCAGGTTCTTGAATCACAGCGTTGCCTTGCAAAGTCAGGTCTGTAGCTTCTTCGTGGGAYTGATGAAATCATAGAATCCTCTCCTTGTCTTGCTTTGGAGAATTCTTCTTTAGAGTTAGAATCCAGTGAGTGCTGTATTAGTTGTTTTGCAGAACAGGATGCTTCCTCTGACCARGTGGGGCTCTCTTGGGTTCTGGAGGTTCCTCGTGGTTCTAGCTTAGGTGCAGGTCCAGGTACGGTCCCTGGGTGGTTCCATTTCAGCTGGCTTCAGACATCTCCCTTATACAGAAAGTGGGTCATGCTGTTAAAGGGCTCTTTTTCCCCCCTCTGTCTTTAGAAAGGTCCTAGAGTGATAATCTTAGATGTAAGTGCCTACATTTGGGCAGGTGAATCCACTTGCTTATCCAGCAGATTAAGATTGCACTTTAATGCTGCTGTACTTCCAGAAAAAGGAAAAATAAACACAATGTTGATTGCAAAGACTGATGTTATAGAGCTAAATCTGGAAAGGTTTAAAAGTATAAAAATAAAAGTGAAAAGAAAAGTTTACAGTGATGTTTTAATATCCCCTTAACTGCAGCTAATAAACATGTAAGCCTTGCTGTGTAATTATAGAAAAAAAAAAAGAAATATATGCACTAGCTCGTTCTTGCTTTCTGAGCCCTTTTCTCTTCAGAGTTACAGAGAATTAGCCATACACTTGCACAAGGTACCAGTAGAGTTTTTGAACAGAATGTTCTAGTGTTTTAAAATAAACTGATTTTTCAAAACTAGGAATATATCTTCTGTGATAAAGAGTACATTCATCAAAGTGCTTTCATCCAYTGAGGCTTTGCAAGGACCATTTCTAGAAGGGAAACATTTTCTCGTCTTTGGACTCCAGTGCTAAATTTAGTATAGATTGTGCTGAGAAGCAAAGAAAATTCCTTCTGGTGTATGTAGCCAGATTTAACAGTAATCAGTTTTCCTGGTTCTGTACTTCTTAGTGTCAGAGAAATTTTACAATAAATGCATTGTTTTATCATCCAGTTGTCAGCATTGTTCTTTATCGGAAAAGATTTTTTTTTTGTAACTTCTTAGCTTTTGGATTGTGGTGAATAATCCTGGGATTTTTTGGGGATGTTTTCTGTAGCTATGCATATTTCAACATACTGCTTATTAATTTTACATATCTTTTAAAACTTCATTAAGTGAATGTATTAATGTCTTGSGTTTAGGTTGGAATTCAGGTACAGCAGTTAGTTCCCATCAATCAGACTACTTCAGCTCACTCCACAGTACGATCTGGACACTTACCTGGTGGATCCCATTCAGTCATTGATCTTTTCCATGTCCAGAAAGCAAAAAAGTGCTCAGAAGAAGAACATAAGGAAGGTTAGTACGATTTTTACTTTGCATTTGTGATAGTGATCAATTCTTAATGGGTTAAATGTAGTTTATCACTCTGAATACTTATTCAATATTATACAGATTGCTTAAGATAAACTCTTTGAGAACATGTATTGTTGCTGCAAATAAAATTGCTGTAAATAAAAAATGGTATTAGTTCAATTTTTTAAGTAAATAGCAACAGAGTATGCTTAAGTTTTATAATAATGCCTGCTGCTGTGTAAACTGCTCAGTAATGAAAAGTTAGCTTTTCATTAACCATCATTAATTGGAAATTAGCTTGAGTGTGGCTCAAAATTTCAAGGTATTTTTAACAAGCTGATCATTCTGTATCTTGTTTTCATGGGTATAGTGATTGTGGCTGCTATGGACCTTGAGATATCTTCAGATTCAAGAACCTGCACTTTTCTTCCACCTCGCGGTACTCACCTGGCCTCTGGTCTCAGTTCTAATGCCAATAAGCCCGAGTCTGCTGTCAAATGGAACGGCCTACATTCTCCCATCAGCGTCAAATCCAGGCTCAATTTGAGCATTGAGGTTCCATCTGCTTCCCAGGTAAAACCTGAGAATATAGAATATGTGCTGTATATATTCAGTACTTTATGGGAATGATGGTCTGATTTGGAGAGAACAAGAAAAGTTGCCTCTTTTTTTTCCTTTTTTTTTTTTTTTTTTTTTTAAAAAGAACACCAGTGGAGTAGAATACATGGTACAAGATTGTTACTGATGCCAGACTATTTTGCCTTAATAAAAGGGTTTGTAAAGCAGTCTTTTAGAGGCTCTCTTGAAGATGTAGTATTATATTAATTCAAAGGAGAAAAACTTAATCTTCCAGTATCTATTTTCCTTTGCCTGTACTTGTCAAAGGACTGAAATAGATGGAAATGGAAAACATGCTGAGACTACAATATTCAAAAGTATTATCATCCGCATAGTATAATCTAAGGTTTTTAGAGTAACACAAAGTGTAATTCTAAAGAACTTGAAAACACTTTGGAAGAATTTACATCAAATAAATTAGACACAATTTGGAGTTACTGCTTAATGTTTATATGATTATGATACAGTGTAGATTTGTAAATCCCCCTTTATTATGTTGCCAAAATTATTTCTGAATAGCTAAAGAATTACCAATGAAGAATTTTGTCCAGTGCTTTCTGTCACTTTGATAAAGGCAGAGCTTTTAACCGTTTCACTTTTTTTTTATAGTAGCAGTATTCTTTGCCACCAAGCCAATAAATGATGATCAAGTCTTGTTCTGCACTTACATATTTAGTCATGTCTCCCATGCCTATCTTTAAAGTACACTGTAGATCTCTCTTTAAGCTTGAGTCAGTGAGAAGGAGCTGAATGGTAAATAGTTTTATGCTTCCTCTTAACCCTTCTGCAATGACTGTCCTCTTAAGTGTCTGCCTAAAAAAAGTGTCAAACTTCCATGCAAATCAGACTGTGCAACTTCCTGGCTTTTTTTTTTTCCCAAATTTTCCTCAAATTATGTTGAAGCTAAGTTAGACATTTAAGATTTGTATAGAACATCATCTTTTTTTTTAAGATGAGAGGAAGACAGTCTTTATTTATGTAAAGCATCTCTATTTGCTTTTCTGGTTTCATCTCTTTATGAGAGTCAGTTAAGAGCAAGTTGCACTGACTTCTGTAGGAGTTTTCAGTGAAAGCATTCTTAAATGCTTTCCTGTAAAATACTGCTGTAATTTAAATCTGTAAACTGTTTTTTTTTTTTTTTATGTTCTGCTAGCAGCTTCCCCACATATTCATACACTTGTGGAACAGATCATGCTTTTGGCAGACAAGTGTTTCTGCAAAGCAGTGCTCAGGCAGCACAGGACCTAAAGGCAGCCTGATTGCACAGTGTGCAACTCTGTTTACTGAGCATCTCTTATAGAGCTCKTATAGAAATAGTATACATGAAGGAGAGAAGAATATGCAGAGGAGTTCCTAAAGCTTTCGTGCCCTTTCTGTCCAGCGTCCTTGTTCTCCTTCTGCTTTGTAATTACARTATAACATGGAATTCAGTCCAGAGAAAGAGAAGGAGTTCTGACAGAGTCCCAAGCTCCTCTTTATGTTGTGTGTTCTAGGAGTGGAACAGGAAGCTATTACACACACTGGAATATGTGTATAGAGCATACATATATACGTAGCAAATGTGGAAGGAAGAAACACCAGAAACACCATGTAGACTTAAATAAGCAGAAAGGTTAATCGCCTGGAGAGCTTTCCTGAAAGCATTTCYTTGATACAGGTCGAGTAGCTTTTCATAGGTCCTTGTCCTTGTTCTGCAGATCTTGAATGTGGTCATGAGATCCAAATGTKCTTCCTAGAGGTGAAAGATGAAGTTTTTCATTGCCCCTGTGGAGTCCTGGTTAGCAGCACTTGCAAGCCAGCATTGACCTTCATTTACCCAGTCCATTCTACTTGTGAGAAAAATAATGCTGTAGATCTTCTTGTCAGTTGTGTTTAGTACCATTTATAGCAAGCGAAAGCTTGAATATAAACTCRTTTCCAAAATCAGTGACAAAAATGTGAGGGTATAACAATATAATTAATAACAGTAATTTAAATTGGTAACATGTGCCACATGTTACCTAGAACTATATAAAAAAGGAAGTTAATGGCTTACTGCTTTGAATGGAACGCCAGTTTTGTRTTGTTACGAACATTTTGCCTATACTTATTTTTGGTTTTATTGTTAGATGGTTATAGAGGAAAAAATTGTATGGAATTTGTGATGAGTATACTAAATTTTGAGAAAAGATAAAAGTGAGCACTCATATGCACTGAACTATTTTCAAGCTTGATTACACTTTGCTGTTGCAGTGTGTATTAATCAGATTCTGTAGTAAGTTCACACATACAAATTACGATAAAAATGTACTTTGTTTTTTGAGATTCAGGTGTTCTTGAGCAACTATTCTGAGTTACATTAACACTGATTTTGGGTTTTTTTCCTCAGAAAAACGTAACAATTGTTTTATATAATTTGTAGCTAGATAAGTCCGTGCTGGAAGCTCTGCCGCCCGATCTCCGAGAACAAGTGGAGCAAATTTACGCGGCGCAGCAGGGCGAAACGCCCGGAGAGAGTAGGAGGGAGCCYGTGAACGGCTGCAGCAGCGCCGTGGTGCCGCAGCCCCTGGGAACGGTGCTGCTGCAGATCCCGGAGCCGCACGGAGCAAGCGCCGAGGCGGGCCTTAGTGTCATTGCCCTGCCCGCCTTCTCCCAGGTAGGATGTTGGCRGGACAGCAGGAGACTCTGCACCCGCAGGAGGAGTTAGCAGCTGGATTCTGGAGGCACAGTTAGGAGAATCTGTGGTTACTCGAGAGGAATTAGGGTCCTTCAGTATCTTCAGTAAAGTCTGTTTTAAAATACGCCTTTATCAGCCCCAAACATAATATGATATTTTTTGGAGATATATATAGCCATCAGTATGCCTGTGTTTTTGCCGTTATTTAATATAAACGCCCCTCAACTACCCTTAGCTTTGCAGTCCAGTGTGTAAATAGCCTTTTTCAGCATTGCAGCTGTTAACACTGCCCCATCAATCTAAAGCAGTCCTAAAAGGAGCTTAGCTAGTCACAGGAGACTCAACGCTGTTCTAAAAGGATGTTTTGGTGGTGTGAAGCCAACGTTCCAGCCTCTGTAGATGTGGTGATTTTAAGCATCTTCCTGGGAGAAGGTGAGACATGGCCAAAGACTGTGTGTGTCTCCATAATTTTAAATACACTTCTGTGCAGCAGTTGAGGGAAGTGAAAAGGTGTTTCTCCAAATGCTGGCCTGAAGCAGGAGCAGGCTGCAGAAATGGTGCTCCCAGTCATAGTGCTCCCTTCAGTCTAAGACAGTCCTGATCAGATGCAGGGTAAATGAATCAAAGATTGCACTGCCTAGAAATAAAATGTCTTGTAGAGAGATCATTTAAAATAGAGCAGCGTCAACAGTAATTTTATTTTTCCATTTGCTGTGCCATTGCTGTTCTCAAAGTGATATCATCTAATCAGATTTATAATGAGATTCTCGTTGTTTATAAGCAGTAATGCTGCTTAGCTAAAAGGAACGAAGAGAAAATTGGATATAAATTGCTGAGCTGTTTTTTTGGTAAATGGTAGGTACCACGTATTTATTATTTAAAAGAGTTGTAGTCCATTSAGTTATTAAAAATGCCTTCACTTTGCTCAAAAAGGAAAGTGATCAATTTTGAACTGATGGGCTCCAAAGCAGTTGGGTCAGTTTTCATTCCTGAGCTGCTGAGCTGGGCTCTCCCCTATAGACATTTTGGAAGAGCAGTGTAGGATCTTTCCATAGTTTAAATTACACAGTTAAACTTTTGCTTATCCAGGAGTGTTCTGTGAACATGTGGGTTAAATTATACTGTGCAGATACACAGAAATGCATATACATAGAAGTGCACACACGCACTTAAGGGTCATTTTCACTTAAATGATTCAACAAACTTAAGTGTGACAGGCTCCATATGTAGAAATATCACAAGTAACTCYAAACTGAGCACTATAGTAGCTCAGCAACTGTGAATAATGCCCTGCCGTGTTTTATAGCTTAGCTWGGAATGTTTTCAGCTGCTTGTTTCTTCTTGGTAAACTGCATTTAAATGATCCGGTGTCAGGTTAGGTGGCTGGCAGTGATTTATTCTTTAGAAACACATGGAAAATGCCCTCTTTCAGGTAAGRCTGTCCTTTAATAAGGGTGAAAATAGGTTGGATTCATTTTAAGCAGCTGAAAAAAATCTTTCAAATTTTAGAAGCAGGCACACCTGCAAAAGCTGAATCCTATTAAAAGCAAAAGATGCAAAAAATAAATGCTAGAGATGCCTTGAAGTGAATGGCAGTTGTAGTAGCAGAGTTAATTGCTGCTAGCAAATTTCCCCTCCTTTTTTCCACTGGCTAAACACAGTATAGATTGCTTTTAAGAAAATTCACACAGCACGTCAGAATGCCAGTGGCTGCTTGCTGAGGTAACAGGTCTATTTGTAAGACCCAGGTTTCCCTTGTGAAAATGATGTGAAAGCCCTGTTAGGACACTGGCTGTACAGTAATTACCTCAAAGTCCAATTAATTAAAGTAAGTTTCATATGAATTTGACTGAAAGGTCTTCTAATTGTGAATTCTACTTGGATTGCTTTCAGTGGGCAATGGAAAAAAATGTCCAGTCCACTCAACTGCTTATTTCTGCAGGAATAATTTGGTCCTGCAGTTGAACAGTTGCAATGAATGCAGCACATTAGCACTGTGCCTCCCAAAGTCCTGGCTTTTGAATGCTTAACCCTAGAAGGATAACGCTTTGCAATAGTTTTCTTAAGGAGGAGTTTTCTTAAGTATTTGAAGCGTTGAAAGCTTCAGAGTTAATGGGCTGCGTTTCGCTGTAATGCTCTGTTGGGTGGTGCTGCCTGAGGCCAGAGTTGCTCCCGTTTCTGCCTTTTCCAAGTGTGTGTTTCATGGGGGGGAAATGTGGGTGTTGGCACCCGGAGGTCTAGAAGTACTGGGCTAATGTAGTGACACTTGGACCTGTGGAGGGATGTTCACATTTATTGCCTGCATAAGTTAGAGATAATGCCTGTGAACAGCACAGCCCCCTTCCCTTGACAAATATTTACGTATTTGACCTAAAAATGAGGTGTAATTATGTRCATGAACATAAAAGCATAATAATTATTCAAATACTTCTTAACTTTCTCTGAAAAAGTGAAAACTTGCCCAGTAAAGGCCATCTGTGTCCCTGCCACGTTCACTTCCTACTGACAAGGAAGTTTTTGAAAATAGAGCCTCTGGCTAACAGCAGAAACTGCCTTGTGCCCTTAGAATCTGAGATTACTAATACCAGTTTTTAATCCTTTTTTTTTTGTCTGTACTCATCTCAGAGTGAAGGGGGCCCTCCCCCTGAACAAACGTAGTCTTCCTAATAATAGGTTGGCTTTTCTGAAATGCTTTTTGCAGATCACCAGTTGAAAACACTGCCCAAGAATTTTGGGTAACTGAGAATGCAATARTGGCAGCAGTGTGCCACTGATCTGCCGCTTTGTCCAAGCAGTGAGGGAAAGTAATAGATATAGAACCTACTATAAAATACTTGGGATCTTATTTTTCCCATATGAAGACAGCAGTTGGCAGCAAATAGCTTCCTGTCCAGCAGCCAAATCCCTGGGACAGTTGGAAGGCACTGTGTTTTTATGATTTKATCCAAGGATAAAATGCTAGGAAAAAAAGAAATGAAGCCCTCTTTCCCTGGCTCARTTACATTCACTAGCTGGACTTGCATCTCCTGTGCTTGAAGAAGCAATGCTGTTTTCAAGGATGTTGCATCTGAGAAGTGTTGCAGCTTATATGAAAAAAGAAGTGTCAAAAGAAAAGGAAAAAGAATAAAATCTGATTATCACTGTGTTCGATTTTGGGAAATTTGAAGAGATTGAGTTAGGCTAAATTTCTGTTAATAAAGCTGTAACACATGATATTAGATGAATAAAGATAGAACATCTTYAAAGATAAAGTCTTTGGAGGAGAACATCTTTAAAAACAAAGTCTTTGGAGGTTAGTATAATATATGTCCATAGACTGTAAGTTCAGAAGTGAATAAATATAGAGCAGTATTAAAAGGTAAATCTAAAGGAAAAGGTACATGAAGGAAATGCAGAGCGGATTTTACAGTGTTTCCGTTGCATCTCATTTACTGTTGTTTAGCCCAAAATGTAAACACCTTTCTATAATCCAGAGGAAGCTCCGTGGTGGAATAACCCCCTGAACCCCCTTCTGTCCCCGCTCAGGTGGACCCCGAGGTCTTCGCGGCGCTGCCTGCTGAGCTGCAGGCAGAGCTGAAAGATGCCTACGACCAAAGGCAGAAGCAAGCAGAGCAGCAGCCTGCCCACGCCGTGGGTGAGTGCACAGGGCTCCAGGTGCTGGCTGTTTGAAGAGGCTTTTGCAACCCTAAATGCAGGCTGGAAAATGTAACGACTGTTTCTTAGGAAGATCCTGTCTTAAATTGGATTCCAGTGTTTGCTTATGATAGACTGTTGGTTAGAGCCGGCTGTGGTCTCGTTTTGCAAACAGGTGCCCGGTGTTACTTAAATGAGTAATTAATTGAGTTCACTGGGACCATGGCACTAAAGTTACCCATGCCCCTATGTCTGCAGAACGACATTTAAACTTGATATGTCTCATGATTTAAGTACCTCAGTTAAGCAGGTGCTGGTGTCCTCCCCTTGGTTCATATAGCCGTGGCTTGAGTGTCAGGGAAGTGGAGATGGATCACAACTCACCATGGATGGATGCCTGGTAGTCGCTGTCCTTAGTCCGAGCTGAGCAACCAGGTCTCCTTTTAATAACCAGYAGGAAGAGGTCAGATAAATCTCCYTCTGGAAGCRCTTGTGATAAAATAGGTTGGAAATGGCATTGGTTTMATTCCATGCCAATTATTATCATGCRTTATTCTAATCAAATCTTGATTCCAGTCTGAGGTCTAGTGCAGATACACTGGAGTCTGGTGGAATGAGAGAGGTTTTCCTGGTGGAAGAAGGAGTCTGGGGGAGGAGAGGACTTTGTGGGTGGTGACCATCTTAGCCAGGACCGAGGTGGGACACTGCCGTAAGGGGAAGCAGTTTGTCAGGGAGACCTCAGTTTTGAGCATCTGCTCGTGCTCAGGAGCTGAAACGTTGGGTATTCCGAGGCTTACGAGCAGCTGGGTGTCCCCTGAGTGCACTGGTGTCTAGCAGTGCTTCTCAGTGCTCCAAACAGTGCCCATCTCTGCAGTGATGGCTATCCGGAGACTTTCCATCCGGAGTTGATCCAGAGACCTTTATGGAAGAACCCCCCTTGTAATACAAAAATGCTACTTTGAACTGTATCAACCACTGTCTATTCCTTTGTTTTTCAGTATCAAAAAACCCTTTAGCCCACCTGAAGCATGCAACAGTGAAAAGTAAGAAAAAAATCCGGAAAAAAAATCCAGCTAGTCCTTCAAAAAAGGTTCAGAGTCCATTGAAAAACAAACTCCATGGCAGCCCTGCAAAAAACATGCCAACTACATCTGGAAGCCCACAGAAGCTGCTAGATGGCTTCTTGAAACAGGAAGGAGCAACTGCACAGGTAATTCTCAGGCTCGCACCAGCTTTGGGTAAAGCTCTWTCCATGTTAATGAATCCCTGTGCCCCGTGCTCCGGGTGTCCCTGCTGGAGCAGGGTTTGGACTAGAGGATCCCTAGGGGTCCCTTCCAACCTCAACCAGTCTGTGATGCTGTGAGTGCACCTGGCTTCTCCACCAGGTGAAACCAGCTCCCAGCTCCCACCGTCTTTCAGGATACCGTTTCTTTGTGCACATCTCGTCATCTTTGTGCACAAAGAGGCTGTGGAGTCTCCTTCTTTGGAGATCTTTAAAACCCGCTTGGCTGCAGCCCTGTGCCACGTGCTCTAGGTGACCCTGCGTGAGCAGGGGGGTTGGACTTGACCTCTGAGGTCCCTTCCAACCTTGGGCATTCTGTGATTCCGTAATTCTGTGATCCCATGAGYCGGATGTATACGCACACACAGACGTGCCTGTACAGGCCATGCACACGTGTGTGTGCGCCTGCACGCCCACGGGCTGCTGCAGTCCTTGTCAGCGCGGGCGCCCTCGCCTCTTGTGTTCGCAGCAGTGGGAAGCCGCTCCGTCCACGTCCGGCCCGGCGGGGCCGGCGGCGCTGCAGCCGGAGCAGCGGGAGCGGCGGGAGCAGCCGGGCCCCGGCCGGCCCCAGGCGCCCAACCTGGCCGGAGCCGTCGAGTTCAACGACGTGAAGACGCTGCTCAAGGAGTGGATCACAACCATCTCAGGTAGGGCCGTCCCGCGCGCGGAAAAGCGTTCGCAGCAAAGCTTTTGTGCGCTTTCTTCCCATCTCCGTGGCCCTTTTCCTTTCACATGCTGTTTGCACAGTAATCTTGAAGCCTGGCAGTATAGGAGTATTGGTAGCCCTGGTTTTGCCAGCTTCTATTCATGTTTCTTGTTGAACTGCATGAAAATCTGCTTCGGCCCATTTGTCAGGGCCTCCTCTTACCCCTTGATGCTACTTTTATTGGGAGTTTTCCTATGGTGTCAAGCAAGGCGCAGCTCTTAAGGTGAGCACTGCTAAAAGGGAATTCCGCCTTTTGTGGAGGGGTCATTTCAGAGGGAAATCATTACAGGTTTTCCCAAAAGAGCTCCCGGGAAAATTCTAGGATGAAGTGCAGTTTAGCTGTTGCTAAGTTCTGACTTGAATTTTAGTGTAATGTCAAACAATTAGCAATTGTCCTATTGGACCTATTGTCCTAACAGTTAGCAAGTCTCCTAAGAGTTTTGATCCGCTCTGGATGCCTTATTTCTTTCCTCCTTGGTCAATATTAGCTGTGCTGGCATTTGTTCCCGCAGCGCGGGGAGGAGAGGAGCGCTCCCTGGGCCTCGCGTGCCGGCCCTGCTGCGCGGGGCGCTGCGCAGCGCCCTTCCCTGCTGCAAAGAGAAAAATCCTCCGTTGTTCCTCCTCTCCGCAGATCCCATGGAGGAAGACATTCTGCAGGTCGTGAAGTATTGTACTGATCTGATAGAAGAGAAGGATTTGGAAAAGCTGGACCTGGTCGTTAAGTACATGAAAAGGTAGCGGAATTACTGGCGTTTCGGGGGCGTTCAGACCAGTGTTGTTAGAGCCTCGCGTGGTTAAATGCTGCAGCGGGAGGCCAGAAGCCTTTCAAGCATTGCACTGATGGGTGTCGAATGTTCAAGGCTAAATCTTACTCAGCAACGTAATAACRAAGGAGCTGGGCAGGCAATATAGGTAATTGGTGAAAATTTAATAGTATTAACTGTGTTGTTTGCTATGAAGCCTTTTGTTTCCAGACAAGGTACATAGTTCTTCTCTTATGGGTGTCCCTTCATCCTTTTTTCATTCCTTTTGCTCACGACACCTTTTATCTTTCCTTTGTTTCATCYGGTTTCAGCTCTGTTGCTGTTTCCAGATGCTAATCCCCGTCTCACCTCTCCAACCGATTTTTATGACGTGTTTATTGTGTCCCTGTTCCTCTTCCCATGAGCCAGGAGGCCCAAGTTCTACTTATGTATCTATATGATACTTAATTGTGTAGCTCCCTGTTTTGTGTCTTAAATATGAAGAATATGTATTCCATGGAAGCTGATCAGCACCCGGCAGACTGCAGCGGAGCAAAAGCTTTGTTACACGTTTGCCTGATGGGGTGGCCTTAGGCCTTGGGCAGTGAGGAGCACCCGGAGGTTCAGTGGATGCCCTGTGGCTGATTTCCCTGCTGCTCCACACGGCAAAAATCGTGTCCATCCTCACACTGGGTCCCTGCAGAGCCTCGGAGCGCGGGCAGGGCGAGGGGCAGGAGTCCGGCCGGCTGCCCTTATCCGTGTGGTATCCGTGTGGCGTTAGGTTATCCCAAAACGTGTGTGTGCCAGTGCCCTCCTGCAGGAGCGTCCTTGGTCCTGGCTTTGGCCGGGAAGAGCCAGGCCAGGAAGAGCATTGGTCTTGCTCTGAGGCACCAAGTGACAGTCACAGGGAGCTGCTGAGGCCTCATTTTCCATAGGGAAGTCAACACGGTGTCCAAAGAGCTGCTTCTGTGACAGTAAGTGTTGTTTTCCCTCTTGTTCCTCTCTCCCTCCAGGCTGATGCAGTCGTCGGTAGAGTCCGTTTGGAATATGGCATTCGACTTCATTCTTGACAACGTTCAGGTCGTTCTACAGCAAACGTACGGAAGCACATTGAAGGTTATCTGACCGTGTCGCGAGGAGCCTGGTGAGGGCCTGGAGCTCTCTGCTAGCTGTGCCATAAGTGCTTGTGAGGTATTTGCAAAGTGCATGACAGTAAAGCCCTGAGTTTTTATAATTTCCGATTTCTTTGTAAACAACAAAGTGTTTTGTACATTTCTTTTCAGAAAGTGCCAAATTTGTCAGTATTGCATGTAAATAATTGTGTTAAAATTCTTTTATTGTAGTATAGAATCTATTTACAAAATGTTTGTTTATAAAGTTTTATGGATTTTTACAGTGAAGTGTTTACAGTTGTTTAATAAAGAACTGTATGTATATTTTTGTACTCACTCGATTTTGTCATGCTTCAGTTTGAATATAGCTGACCCCTTTCATTAAAGCTTGAGCTTGGCCTCCTTTACTCRCCCCACTCCGCCCCACACCGCTGTCTCGCTCGCTCTTCCCGCCCGGCCAGGAGCAGGGAGCCTGGGCTTCTAGGAAAAGAAACCCTCAAAGCATACTTTTATGCAGATCATGGTGTCATCTGCATTAATTTGCCTGGGTTTCCACCTGTTACAGTTCTGCTCTTTCCTGGCACTTTATTCTCTGACAGCTGCTTTTGGCTGTGTGCGTGGTWGGGCGCTGCCCTACGGAGGAGAGGGGCTGGTGCAGCTGCGCTGTGGGTGGGAGCTGCTGGGTTTTGGAGGCAGAGCGGTGGGTGGGCAAGCACTGCTCCAGCCCCGAGTGGGACGGGCTGCGTTGTTGAGGCAGGGCAGTGGGTGGGAAAGAGCTCGCAAGGGACAGGGAGGAGGCCGGGGGGAGCTGCAGGCCGGGAGAGGTGGGTGCTCGGGAAGGGGCCAGCAGGAGGTTGGGAAGGGGCATTGCCCATATCCCGCTGCTGCAGCACCTGCTGGCACAGGGCGCTGCGTGTGGGTCAAGCAGGGGCTGCYTCGGAGCCAGGCACAGCAGCCAGGTACAGGAAAGGGCTGGGGAGGGACCCAGTGGTGCCCCTGGGGGCACTCGGAGGGAGTGGGGTGGCCGGCAGGAGCAACAGCCCCATCAGCAGCAGCCCCACGCTGCAGCCTCGGGGCCTTCAGCAAGGAACCAAACCCAGCACTGGGGCCCAGGGCTATTGAGCTACACTCCTTTTTCCCCCTTCCTCCACCTCAGTTTCATCCGGTTCTCTCCTCCTTGGAACCGTCCCAAGAGCGGCTGCCAGGCCTGTTTAGGTGGTGACGGAGCCCCTTCCCTCCTTGGCAAAACAAGAATACAGTACAAGCACAGCAGTTGAGATCTCTGTTCTTAACTTAAGAACTCCTTTTATTAGTGTAGCTTTCACAATTGCATAGTTTGCAAAAATAAACTGTAACAGTTAAGTGCAGTCTCCTCACTTAGACACTCATGCTAGTCTAAATCCCTGCCAGGCCCAGCGCTGTGAATCCGTASCACACTCAGAGCCTCCCGCAGACACCCCTTTGCCACTGTAGGCTCAACGTCTAACACCSTTCTTGGTAAACTTCAACCCCCCTGCCAGGAGAGGCGACAGTCACAAAGCAATTGTGAGAGAAGCTGTACAATCCCCATCAAGGTAGTGGGGGGGGTTGAACAGAAAAGATCTGCACAAAACAAAGGCTGATCGGTTCCAAATGCTTATTAGAGGGGTTTTTCTAAGTCGTTTAAAGGCTAAAATTTTCAGCTACRTGAAAGACAACTCTGTTTTAGTTCAGTTTGTGCTTTTCAAAAGCCGTTGTTTGGCTCCTCAGGACACACGTTTCGAAGTAGCAGGAGAGCTCCCTGCTTAAGGACACATCAGGCTGCATCCCCAAGGGAAGGAAGGGCAGGAAACCACAGGACCCTGACAGYGTCATGGTCATCAGGGCCACTGGGAGCCCCACACCTTGCACCAGCCCCCACTCACAGCTGCTCCCCACGGCTGTGGGGCCCAGGACACCTARGACAGCACCAGGGAGAACCAGACCCCCAAACCACCCCCGCTGCCAGGAGAGGGAGGCAGGAGGGGAAAGGGCTCCCGTGGGCAGGGGCCCGGCTGCCCCGGGCCCTCTCTGCGCTCCCTGAAGCAAAGTATGAAACAAGGGGCTGCTCCGACCATCTCCTTTATTCGCGGCTCTGCGTTATAGTGATTACAGGTCGACTTCCATGAACTGTACAAGCAAGAAAAAGGCGGCCAACTATGCTTTACATCATTGTTTCACACGAAGCAAAAAGACAGAAAGATCCAATTGCCTAATTCTCTATKTTTAAAAAAAGTTTCTAGAGGCACAAAGCAGAAGAATGTTGGAAAAGAGAGTCAGGGGAAGAGGTATGCATAAATAAAGAAGTACTTCTTACATCAAAAATGTCCCAAGAATCACAAAGTCTGCAGAAGCTTGGTTAATCAAATACTGCAGTACTGATTTCATCAGTATAAAAGTGAAAGAGCTTCCGTTCTGTAATAAAAATTCAATTTATTTTATTTTGGAGGGAGGAAGAGGCAGAAGGAAGGTGTAAGAGAAGGAAGGGCAAACTTTAAAACAGCAGCCAGTAGGAGGAGGGGCAGTGGGAGAGGTGAACAGGCACATTGGAACTGTGGGAACATGTAAATTGACCACTGTCAAACCAGTGTAAATTTCTCGGTTTCTCATGGAAAACATTTTATCCACAGATTTTCCTCTTCAACACAAACCCAACGCCGTCTTTAACACAGGACTCTGTTGGTGACTTCTGGAACCGGGCGTTTCACTCCCGCCTTGATTCCCGGTGCTGCGAGAAGGCGCCTAGATGATCTCGAACACTTTCTTCAGCTCCACGATGAGCTGCCAGTCGGACTTCTGCATCTCGTCCCTGAACCAGTCCTTGAGCGCGTCGATGGACTGGCGGCTGATCTGCAATCACAGCATCACAGAAGGGTTCAGGTTGGAAGGGACCTCTGGAGATCATCCAGTCCAACCCCCTGCTCCAGCAGGGACACCCAGAGCACGGGGCACAGGGCGGCATCCAGGCGGGTTTGGAAGGTCTCCAGAGAAGGAGACTCCACAGCCTCCCTGGGCAGCCTGTTAACAGCCTGCAATGCAGGGCCAAGCCGTGAGGGGCCAGGCCACTAGGAACCACCACGACGTCCCGGTGCCGGGTAAGCGGCTTCCGGCCTCGGAGCCGACCGGCCGGTCCGCTCCGAGGCCGGAAGCCGCTTATCCGGCCACCGGCATCCGTCATTCCCAGGCTCCACACAAGCCCCGGCCAAGGCACCGCCAGCCCTCACCTTGCTGACGAGGATGTCGGTGGCCTCGAAGTGCCGGCCGTACATCTTGGGCGACTCGCCGGGAATGGGCTCGATTTTGACACACACCTCCTGGCCCTTCTTGGCAACATCCACGGGCTTGTGGTTGATTTCGATGCTCGTGACGATTCCAATGTCAACGAACTGCAACACAGGGAAGACGCTGCAGGGCACGGAAGCGAAACGGACTTGATGCTCCCCAGCGGGGCAGGGAGTGCCGCGGAAATCCCGGAATGGCCGCCGGGAAGGGCCGGGGATAGGGCTCRCACTCACGTTTTTGCTGGGCACGCACATGGGAGTGCCCTGCTTCACCTGGCCCGCCTCCACCACGACGCCCATGACGATGGGGTCCCGCGAGTTGAAGATGAACTGCGGCAGGATCTTCATCTTGCAGGGAAACACGGCGACGTGCCTGCGGGCGACAAGGACGGGCAGCTGCAGAGGGACACGGCGGCGGCACCAGCTCCGCCTTCCTCGTGTGCCGGGGCGCTCATCCCAGCGGAGTCGCTCCCAGCAGGAAAACCCTCCTTGCCCCTATTAGCTCTAGTCAGGGCTTGGCCCTCCCGAGCTACAGGGAGCAGCCACGGAGCAGGGCTGCCGTGGAGTTCATGGCGATGGGCTTGGGCAGCCAGCCACCCCCAAAACCCACGGAGCAGTAATGGAAGTTTAACCGGACTCTCCAAGCAGCAAGGGAACAGAAGCACTGATGCCACAGCCTGTCTCAGCGATTCCACTCAACTTATTCTTGTTTTTTTAATCCTAGCTACACAAACTCTATTTGGGATCAGGAAAAGCAACTTGTCCGAGGCCCACCTGGTAGCACAGCTTCCATCAGCTCAGTTTGGGATCCCTGCAAGTCCTTACTGACTGGAGATCCACATTTCATTTCTGCAGTCAGAACTGAGCCCTGTGCACTGGTAGCACACAAACATGGAACAGCAGAACCCAAACGCTGTCAGGTTTGTTTTCCTAAGCCCACAAGACTAACCAGGCTGTCAAAAAAGGGATGAGAAACTAAGCACACAGAGCAAACCTTAATRAGGCGGCTCCATAGTATGTGATGGTTCAAGTTAAACACTGTGGGGTTTTTTTTTACAACTCTCATCCTAATAAACTTAATCCCAGCTGGCAATAACTAAAGTAGAACTGCACGGTTCCTGGCAGTTACAAATTTCTTGTCCTATCCTCTTCCTCCTTTCCTTCCTTCCTTCCTATCAGAACTGTGTGCTAAATAAAAGCCTGGAAACATGAAGTTAAAGGCAGTTTCATTTAGGAATAAGAGGTAATTTGGAAAGCGCCCAAATGAGAATGACTCATACTTACTTGAACTCCTCTTGTTTCTGTTTTTTATAGTCCTGTCTGTATTTTGTGAAGGCATCAAATAGATGATAGATGATTTCAGCACTAAAAATCCGAACTCCTAAGCTATCGGCCATTTCCTGGGCATCCCGCTCGATCCTCACGTCGAAGGCCAGGATTACTGCGTATCTGCACGTAAAGAAGCCAGGCAGTTCGTCACACAGCCCGTGAAGAGGCAGCCTGGCACACATTTAGCAACAGAGCAAAGCAGGTACTTACTGAGGGTCGTGCTCCAGCATRACTGATGCTTTCATAACGTCCTTTTTATGGACAGGACCTATGTTAATCCCCGCGTACTGTTGAGGAAGAAAGCCACGCAAGTGAGTCGTCACCCACTCTGCATCAAGAGGAACCAGCTATAAAGCAGAAGCAAGAACAGCACCACCAGACACGGCGCAAGGCACTTACTGGCACTTCTGATGTTTTGAGAAATTCAAGTAGAGCTTCTAAAGAGCCCAAGGTGGAAGCCTGGACATAAACCCCTTTCTCTTCCAACTTGATGGCGTTCAGCGTTTGCTTCAGCTCGTGTATCAGCTCATCCTGCAGGAAAGCAAGCGAGCCTCAGTGCCGCCGCTGCGGGGAAGGGCGAGGCGGGTCCGTCCAGGAGCCGCCCGCGCCGCCGCCGAGCCCCAACACCCGTGGGCGCTGCGGGGGGCAGCGCCCACACACAGCCCTGCAGGTGCTGCAGGTTGGTG